TCTCTCTCTCTCTCTCTCTCTCTCTCTCTCTCTCTCTCTCTCTCTCTGATCACTTTTCAGCATCTGATTTGCTTTTGGTGGCTTTATGTTCATCGTTGCTGCTTCTTCCTTTCAGGAGTCTCGTCAATGGGACTTTCTCCGAGGTCAAAGAGGCCATGTTTGCTCACATGCCATCCCTCCAGCTCCTGTAAGAGTACTTCAACAGCATATGTTTCAACTGTTATTATGAGGTTTTAGGAGCTGCCCTTACCTCCAAGCAAAGGCACATTTTTAGAACAAAACTATGCAGGTGGATTTCGGAACAAAATTGGCGACTTTCAAAACTTAGAGATGTCTTTAATGTGGGGGATTGACATGACAAACGCATCAAGCTGTGCAGCCTAAAAATGGTAGAGGTCTGAAAGTCCAAAGCTGCAATATACACAACAAACCCTTGTTACACAGACACATGCCAATATTATAGTTTATTATAAGCATGACTTAATGAAGGCTTTTATGCTATTGAAGCATGTACAGTAGCAGTGAAGCAAAGTCTTTTTGGTGCACGTTAAAGCAATCAGCAGGGAAGGTTTTAAAGAAGTCTAGTCATGAGCTTTCAGTGTAGCCCTATGCTATATTGTACTTACCAGAGTCCATCAATCTACTTTGTTACTCCACTAGTGATAGCTGTGATGCCGGCAGAAATAAAGGCGTGGCAGATATAGAGCGTTTACCCAGTCATAACACGTGATGATTTTTTATCACCATTCCCCTTTGGCTCTATTTTGCTAATTAAATATGAAATCACGATCTAAAAAATTGCATCTGTTTTTCAGACAGAAGCATAAAATGGCACATCGTGTTGGCAGCCAGCATTGGTTCATGTGTATTTTATTATTCGTTACAGGCTTTTGAATTCCAATTCTCTGACAACTGTAAGGGACGATGCATTCTCAGGCCTTCCACATCTGGAGTATCTGTAAGTTCATCATTGATTTTCTTTTATTAAAGTAACGCAAAGACCTTGAGTGAATTAGTGTAATTACTAAAACATGTTGTCCACATTCGTTTAATCGTTTGTAACTGGAATAAAATGCACACTTTAATCTAACATTGTCAAATAGTCTTCTAAGTGTTGTTATGGGCATGAGGTCACTGGATGTGGGTGGATGTTGGTCTTTCAGAAAGTGAATGAGGCAGGAAAGTATCAACTGTACACCCTCTAGTGGTTCAATTTGTTCCAGAATAGAATGGCAAACCAATCTCTAAAAGAATATTACAAATATTATCAGTGTTGTTGCTATAGCTCGATAGGCATTTTTGAAAATAATGTATTTATTGTAATTTATTACAATCTTCAAGATCCAATCACTAAATCCAACATGCATTGTTGTTATCTTCCACAGGTTCATTGAGAGTAATAAGATAGAGACTGCAGCCAAATATGCCTTCAGAGGACTCAGGGACTTGACTCACTTGTATGTTCCAACATTTAAAATCATTACCAAACACTGTTAAAATGTCTTATTTGTAATATTCATATTCTACGGTGTTTTTTTTTAATGAAGCAACTGGACCATTTTAAGTGATGCTTAATAGTTCCCTGTTTTATTAGGATTAAGGTTAACGGTGTCGAACCTTAAATATTACTTTGACTTCTACACAATATGTGAATTATGTTCTCCATTTTCTTGTAAAGGAGTTTTAAAATTCTTAATACGTGCAATTTCCTGTATTGATTCACTGCTGTTATTTCTAGGTCTTTGGCAAACAACAACATCAAAGCCTTGCCCAGGGACCTCTTCATTGGCTTGGACTCACTGATAGAGCTGTAAGTTAGTCCCTCAGTTAAAAGACTTGGGGAAATAGTGCAATGTCGTCTGTTTTCTTCTTCATAATCTTTGTCAAAAAGGTACCCTGGGTCCCATGCATATCATCTTCATCTTCCTTTTTAAAATCTTCTAAGGCGCCTTCTAGCTACTTGTCTTCTCTGCAATGACATACAGTACTCCTCTTCTGCAGGGACCTGCGAGGCAATGCCTTTGAGTGTGACTGCCGTGCCAAGTGGCTGATGACGTGGCTGAAGAACACCAATGCCACAGTGTCGGATGTCGTGTGTGTTGGGCCCGAGGACATGAAGGACAAGCGCCTCAACGATATGACCAGCCTGCACAATGAATGCATCTCAACGGGTGAGAAACACCCGAGCCAGCTGGCCTTGTCTCTATCATAAGTGGCATCAGTATCAGGCGACTCAACCGGGTCATCCAAAGGAGTGTTAGGCAAAAGTGTAGTTTTCTTACTTTATCCCTGATATAATGTGGCTTTTTTAAAATTATTATTAGTTTTTGGAGAATTTCATTTCAGTATGTGCCTTTCCACAGATTTCGTCCTCCATCAGTCTGTGGCATCTGAGTCTCTGTCTGTCGACACATTCAGCTATAAGAATGACGTCTATGTGACTATTGCTGCTCCCAGCGCTGAGAGCTGTATGGTTTTCCAATGGGACCACATAGAAATGAACTTCAGGACTTACGATAACATCACAGGTACGGCGGTGCTTTGACAAACTGTCTCAGAATACCCTGGTTGAGAGTTTAACCTCTTGTGTAAAATGTGCCTGTTTATTTCCTCTTCCCTGTCTTCCAGGTCAGTCCATTGTGGGTTGCAAGTCAGTTGTCATCCAGGACCAGGTGTTTGTCATTGTGGCTCAGCTCTTTGGCGGTTCCCACATCTACAAGTTTGATGAGGACCAAAGCAGGTTCAGCAAGTTCCAGGACATTGAGGTGTCCAAGGTCTCCAAGCCCAATGACATTGAGGCCTTCCAGATTGCCTCTGACTGGTTCTTTTTGATTGCGGACAGCTCAAAAGCGGGCCTGTCAACGCTCTACAAGTGGAATGATAAGGGCTTTTATTCATACCAGTCCCTGCACGAGTGGTACCGCGACACCGATGCAGAGTTTTTGGACTTGGATGGGAAGGCCCACCTTATTTTGGCAAGCCGCTCACAGGTGCCTGTGATCTACCAGTGGAGCCGGAGCAACCAGAAGTTTGTCCTGCAGGGCGAGATCCCCAACATGGAGGATGTTGTGGCTGTAAAGCACTTCCGTATCAAGGAGGAACTCTACCTGGCCATGACGCGCTATATTGGTGACTCCAAAATTCTGCGTTGGGGTGCCAAACAGTTTGCGGAGATCCAGGCCTTGCCCTCGCGAGGCTCCATGATTCTCCAGCCGTTCTCATTCAAAGACCGTTACTACCTGGCCCTGGGGAGTGATTACACCTTCTCACAGATCTACCTGTGGGATGATGAGGTCAAACTCTTTGACCGCTTCAAGGAGGTGTACATCCAGGCGCCGCGCTCCTTTACTGTGGTCGCCACTGACCGGAGGGACTTCATCTTCACCTCTAGCTTCAAGGGAAACACACAGATCTTTGAGCACATCATCATTGACTTGAGCTTGTGAGGGGTTGTGCTTTATTGCCCCTCCTGCAATCGAACGTCTTCCACTAAAAATTTGTGAAAGGAAAAGAAAGGACCAGAACAGACTTAATGTACTGTCAAATATCAATTCTTCCATATGTCGCTGTAACAAATAAGAGCTGGGTCAAGTGGTGTTTGGAATCCTTTTTGCTTTTTAAAGTTTCCTGACTATTTCTCAATGGCCTTGTTCTAATATCTGTTCTCATGGTCTCTCAGACTCTCAGATACCATTTCACAAAGACTAAGAGGAGGCTGGTATTCTCCTAAAAACCCAGCTAACATTCCTGAGGGTGTATTTGAAATATAATTTGATCTATTTGGATGTATCTTTCAGTTTAGTATCCCCTGTGCTAAAGGTTTTATACCCCCCAAAAATATACACCAGTACCCGACAGAAAAATTGTTTTACTAATATTCTTTTATTCTCATTTGGGGCATGTAAAAAATGCGGTTGCTCATCTTTGTGCAACTTACCTCATGTCCTCATACTGTGTGGTAATGTGCAGTTTGTTGCCTTATCAGCATTGGGGTGCTGTGTTCTGACGGGCCCACAGTGCCTCCATCTGGCCGTGATAAAGTATCACACCCCTTTGCTTTTTCCATACAGGGAATGTTTCGAAAGCACAAACCTTTAATTACCATAGCCGATACCCCAGCCCTTAGAGTGAAGTTAAATTATTACTGTATGTGCTGTAGATTATATTGCTTACAGTAAAAAAAAAAAAAAGAAGTGGTTTGTTGTTTTAGGAGGTGAAATATTCAGGAAATTATATAGCTGAAGCCTTTTTTGGACAAACAGGAGAATGGAATAACCTTTTAGTCCAGAGGAATGATAGGTGGAAAAGCTAATAGAAGCCCTTTTCATCCATTTAATGTTGATATCAGTGGACAGTAAACCTACTGACAAGTTTGAAAAAATAACCACATTTGTTGGACTGCTGACATAATTTAACTTTTCTTTATAGACTATAACTAAAAACAGGCTCCTCACTACAGAAGCCAGTGGACTTATATACATACATTTGATAAAAGGACATCATTCTTTTGTCCAAAAGTGAAGAAAACGAAATGTTTATGTAAATATATTCACTCAAGTTGAGAGGCTTTTTTTCTGTCCATCCGTCATTCTGTTCTTACTAACACTGAATGTTGACTTGACAAAATGTACATAAAACATGGACTGCAATGCCACTACCTGTTCGCCACACAAAAACCTGAACAGATCTTTGCACTTACTCTAAAAAGAAAAAAATAGCAACAGCTTGCAAGAGAATGACATTCAAAAAAGGGTGTTTGCCAACTTCTTTTAGATGAACTTATCTAACTCTGAAGTCTAAAAGTACTCCTGCTCATTAAGTGAATGGTTTTGCAAATAATGAAAAACATAATGGAATATGCAAGCTTTACAACATGCAGATTCTTTTGTATAATTTAGTTTTAAGCATATTGAATGTTACTCTCAAAATATACTGTAAATCTATTTGAGTATCAAAATAAATGTGTAAACGTATGATTGTAAGAAGTGTTTTATCATTCATTGTCTTAAAAAAAGGCCATTATGATCTTAAAGCTGCAATCATAATGACAAACACACTGTAACTTATCCAACGACTGCAGTCATTCTATGCCCCAATGTTGTATTTGTGTCTTTACCGCAAAGAGCTTTGAGTTTGAATATGTTATCTTTGACTGGTGTTCAGTCAGTATTAATAGAGAGATTGTTAACTATGAATGAAAATATAGTTTAAATTGTGTTTTTGGCTCTACTCCTTTCAGCCCCAGAATTATGTCTCCAAGTATCCGTTAGTCTTCGTATAGCCACAAGAACCTTCCCCAATCCGGTAGGGCAGTCTGTACGTAGCCTGAGAGGCAGAATGGGGGCAAAATGGGGGCACAGAAGCTCCACTGCTCACATATAAGCCATTATTCATCGCCACACACAAATCTGAATGGATGTTTGCGGTTACTTTAAAAAGATTAAATGTTACTACAGCTTGCAAAATACTCACATTCAAACAAGGGTGTTAACTTTATTCTTGCTCTCATTTTTATGTTTAGCACCTTTAACAAAAGATTTAGCAGAGGGTAGCCTTGTTGTAACTCCATGCTGTACCCTACATTACATTGTGTGTTATTATGAATAGCAGGAAATCCAACTGCAACTAGTCCAAACATGCCAGGCATGGGCAGGGCAAGAGAAGAGAAAAAGGAAATAAAACAGGAAGACCAGAGACCAGATCAGCGCCTGCGCCATTGAAGCCAACACGGATCCTGAATGCAGAGTTTGGACCAATTGTACTCAAAGAAGACATTATACGATTTTAACCTTTTGAACTGTACTGTTATGCCACTTGGTGAGCAGTTTGGAAATGGCAGATGTTTGAATTGCCATACGGCAGCCCTGGCAGTGATACAACAAGCAGGAAGTTCACGCCGAGACTTTGTTTCTACCTAAGATGAAAAAAAGCCGGCACAATCACTAGTGCTTACTTTATTAACATTTCAGTTATGTATGTATGTATGTATTCATATATAAATACTTAGGCAATACTGATATATCTGTAATAAGTTGAAATTCAAAATATATTGGTATGGCCGATATATCGGCCACATGCAGCCACCGCTCAAGTTCATCTTCATCCATCGCAACTTGGGATGCCCCCCCGAAACCCGGTTCTAAACAGGAACCGGTTCTAAATTAGTAAAATCTCTGAGTATTGATAAGGTCCGGAGTGAGATCTCTGTGGAAAATAGCAGCAGCACAAATGTCCTCTCTCTGTCTCTATGCCTCAAGGCAGGGAGAACAAAAAGATCGAAAGTGTGTCTACATTTTACTTGAGTAGATGCTGATAACTCTCGTTGTCATGAATGCAATAAAACCCTTACAAGTAAAGGAGGTAATACCAGCAATTTATCAAATAAGAATAGAATAAAAGCTAGTCAATTAGCTAATTGTTCAGCTGCAAATATATTTTAAATATTTTAGAACTTCTTGTATTGCTGCTCAAGAAAGACTATTTGTTTACATACAAGAATAACAAAACAATGTCTATTCTTTTCCTAATTTATTGTCCTTTTTTCTCACAATATAATCAAAAAGAACCGATAAGAGTATCGATAAGGAACAAAACCGATAAGAGTACTCACAACAATAGAATCATAACGATACCCAAGCCTAATCATAAAAACATCAATTTACAATGTTTCATGTATTTTAAGTAGATAAAATGTTTAATAAACACCAAATGTATCATCAACACATAATAAAAAATGATTATATGTATTTCCGATTAAACATGCTTCAAACACAAGAGTGAAGATATTATAACTAAACTCATCAATACTGACAGAACTATTTGTGTAATAGCTCTATAGCTGGTAGTCTGAAGTTTTGCACGGCATCATATGTTTAACAGTAACCTCATGCTTTTGTCTTTTTACAGAAACTCTGAAGCAAAGAAGAAAATATCAACAAACAGTTATGGAAGTCAACCCAAAATCAACACATTGCCCTATATGTGATGTCATCCAACAAAAGTCACCAATGCAAACTGCTGCCATCGAAAACCGGGCCGATGTCTTAAAGGAGCTCATATCTGCTGGTGCACCGGTAACAATTTTACCTGCAACTGTCCCTGAACATATTACTCACAATAAATGTATATCTCAGATGATTCATGGCCTTGCATCGGAAGGAGATGAGTTTTTCTCCAAACTCAGACATTTTCTGGAGATGGAAATTGCTGTTCAAGGGGGACCACCTGAAGAAGTGTTTGAAACCTTTGACAGACACATGCTGTTGGAGAATCCTCAGACCCATCTGACCATGGTTGAAACACTTTGTAATGTAACTGGGAAAGATGCAGAAAAATACCACCAGGGAAGTGTGAAATGGCTGGAGGACACTCAAAATCTGAACTCCTACATTGCAGGTGCATCCAGTCGCTTTCCAAACATTCCCCCAGGACATGCACAATGGGCAATTAACACTTTACATGCAGTTTTTTGCTCAATGGAAGACATCCCAAATGAGCAAGCACTTGCTATAATCCCCCAACTACTGAACCAGCTTTGTGCAAAAGAGAAGACAGGATAAATGTGAAGTTACTCTGCAAACACTTTGTCTGATAACACAGAAAACAAAAGGCAAAAACAGCTGGGATCCCAACTTTATTAAGAAGTTATGCCAAACAGTCGCACCTTTTGTGTGTATAGACTACTCCGATGAAATTAGAGGCTTCATATATGAGATCTTTAAAAACTTACTTTCAGTTCAACATGCTCTTAACATCTTTGACATGAAATTTCCTGAAGAAGATGAAGTAGTGCTCAGATGATTGGAAGAACATTTCAGCAAACTAACCTTGGAATGTGAAGATGGTGCAGACTTAACCAGATCTGAGTACAGGACTGACCAGCAAGAAAGTCCAAATGACCCAACACCAGCTCCTGTTGCAGAATGTGCTCAAACTTCAAATGGTTTACTCATCCAACCAATCAGCAAGAGGTGGAGAGACAAGTTAAACAAGCTTGTGCACACTGATGAAAGTGAAAGAACCAGGGCTGGAAGCCCCACATATGTGTATCAAGAAGAATTCCTCATAGCGGTGGGTAGTAATGGTACTGAAGTCTTCTTGGGGCTGAGAGAAGATGGCACTGAAGTTGCTATCAAGAGAATGTCTAAACGCAACTATCGAGAGCTGAAGAACGAGGAAGGACTTCTAAGACTTCCAGAGCTTGATCATCAATTTATTGTGCGATATGTTGATAAGGCGGAGGATAAGAACTTTGGATATCTTGCTCTTCAACTTTGTGAATACACCCTGGAAGAATACATCCGAAATCATGATGACGTTCTGCTGATGAAGAAACTTGTTGGTCAATTCCTCGAGAGTTTAAAGGTGCTTCATAGTCCATGTGATTCAAGTCCTCCAATTCTCCACCGGGATCTCAAACCACAGAATGTTTTGATCGGTAAGACAAGTAAAAAATATACATAAACATGTAAACCACGATCTAAAAGTCAAAGTGCACAAATGTGTATCATATATGATTTACACCATTTGTCCTACAGATGTTATGGAGAGGGTAAAATTAGCTGATTTTGGCATAAGTAGACGGTTACCCAAAGGCCAGACAACGCATCGCTCCGACAGAGCAGGAACACAATGCTGGATGGCCAGGGAGACTTTAGGAGGAGGAGCTAACACACCCTACAAGTCGAGCACTGACATACAGGTTAGTGCTTCTGCTATATAAATGTTCTTGAATGTTATATGTGAAAACTATTTCAATAACATAACTGTTATGCTAACTTTCAAGGTGGCAGGGATGCTGATTTATTACATCCTTTCTGGAGGACACCATCCTTTTGGTGACAAACTCTTTGAATGTGAGCACAAAATTCATCATGGGATCTACACTTTGGACCTTGTTCAAGATGTGGTGGCCAAGGATCTCATTGAGTGGATGATCAATAAAGAACCAAAGAATAGACCTCAAGTGGAAGATTGCTTGAGTCATCCATTCTTCTGGACACCAGACAGGTAGAAAGCCTTTAAATATGGCCAATTAATTCAACGTATTTGTTATTATTTCTATGTGCCTGACATAGAGTTAACGAGACCTATAGTCTACAGCCACAGCCTGCCCTTACAAGCACAGTGGCGCTTTCATCTAAATGCTAACATCAGCATGCTAACATGCTGATGCTAAGCAGGTATAATTGCCATGGCCACTATCTTAGTTTTGCACTTTAGTAGCTAAAACTTGCAAATTAGTTCCAAACAGAAATAAAAACAACACACACACACATTTTTAAATTACAGTTGACGATGATGGTATTTGGCCAGAAACGAAGTGCTGGACAAACTGAAATTTTGACTTGATGATGGCACTAGAGAAAAAGTGGGGGTCATTAGGATTCATTCTTTGGGAACGATGAATGCACATACAAACTATCATAGCAATCCATCCAATAGTTCCTGAGATGTTTCAGCCTGAACCAAAGTGGTGGACTGGGCGACTGATTCTTTTTAGTCACGTTTGTCTTGTTTAGTTTTTTTTTTTGTTACTTTTTCTTCAGTTGCTCTTATTTCTCTATCAATATATTTTCCAATGACTCTCCATATCACCATGTATTTGCAATATGATATGACAAAAAGGTTTACGTTGTTTATATCTTGAACAACCACCTTTAACATAGGCTGCATTTTATTTTTCAGGAAAGTAGAATACTTGAGAAATATTGGAAACGAGAAGGAGGTGGAAAACTGTCGAAATGCTGACCAGGAATTGATTTCTTCGCTGGAGAAACTTGCTGGGGGTGAATCCTTAAAACTGTGGAAGGGGAAGGTGATTTCAACACAACGATTTAGTCTTTATTTGGAACCCCACTAGTTTGTATTCCTTAAGTCCACTTTATCACTAAGTATCATTTTAATGTTTTGCATTATAGTTTCCATCAGAGGTGGTCCAGAACGTGGAGGACAAGAAGAAACCCTACCCTGAAAATGTGGTGGGATTATTGCGCTTCATACGTATCCTCCGCGAGCACTGGTAAGTTAAACTGAATTAAAAAATATGAAGGGCCTTAATATGTCAAGAATAAACTCACCATCAACATGACACTTTGTCACTTATTTCTCCCTTTATTCTTTTGGTGGAAGGAATGAAAATGTTCACAGTGACTCTAGGACATTTTTTATCTGAAAAGAGATGTTGATATTGAGTTTTTCTATTGTGACTTTTCATTCCCCTGAGCTCCACAAACAGAATTCACCTTTATTGTATTGGGCTGAAGGTAAAAACTGCAAAGTGAGAAAAAATGCACAGAAGACTGAGCTTTTGTTACTTTGATAGGTCCTATTCTTTAGAACATTAAGGATTATGGAAGTATGTGTTAAATGAATTTAACATATTTATTAAATATTTTCACTGTTTTACTGGTTTCTTGGTATATGTGTTATGTAATATCCCTTTACGTGAACATTGGGTATCTTCATCACACCCATCTCCACGGCCACATCAGTTTATGTCATTGTCTGCTCCGATACTTTTTTGATATGACTTTGTTTTTGTTGCCACTTATTGCAAAAAAATCTAAACAAAATAGACCTTTATCTAATATCTGCTTTTCTAAAAGCAGTTTCTGGGTCATCTTACCTTTTTAGGCCTTTAAAAACTCTATTCAAGGGGTCACAAGCCAAAATGTTGGGAGCCACTGGTTATATTGTGGATGACTGTCAGGGATTTTCTTTACAATACAATTTCATCTTTCTGTTTGCAGTCGCAAGGACGCGGCCAAATGTGATCTGATGTTGATGTTTCCTGGTCTCTTTGGAGGTGTTTGGACATTTGCCAAAAGAAAAGGGTGGTCCGAAGTCTTAACACCACCCGAAAGGTGTGGAGAGGATCTTAACTTCCCAGTTCAAGAATCTCAAAGCATTTACACTAAGCCAACTGATAATTGACACCAGGCTCGTCGCTGCCATTTTTCAATTTAACAGTAGCTAAATGCAATGAGACCTGGTGCTGTGTGGCTATAAATCAGTGCAGCAAATTCACTTGCTTATTTTGTCATTTATCTGCCGATTCAAAGTACACTTCCTCATTATTCTTTGATGAAGACACAGTGTTGTTAAAATGTTTGTCTGTTTGCCCAATTAAAGGCTGTAAATCAATCAGTGTGCTGCAGTCCATTTCTTTCCCTTCAAGGTATACTGTATTGCAAAAAGACAACTCTGCAAGCCTCTGGATATTAAAGACCTGGCTCTTCCAGAATACCAATGTTATTATCCAGTAGCTAATGCAAGAACTCTGGTCCAGTGACAGATTGACGACCCTGAGAGACCCTGCAAGGCTGCCTGTATCAAGATATGTCACAACTCGAGCCAGCTCGACTCTGCGTAAACTTTTACCATACCTGCCTGTCTTTGAGTTGTGTTTCTGGATTCAAGCCTGTTGTTCTCTGAGCCTTCACAAGATATGCATTTTTGTTTGCAGGAAAGTTCCTTACTATCTTTCCAATAAAGGTAATGTAATGATCAATGTTTCCCTAAAAAATTGGTATTGGATCAAAAAAAGCTTTCATGGAAAGAATGGTCTTAACCCCTGTCTTTACTTACCACACTTTGCCCCATCCAATTCATATTTGTTTTCAGATGAATAAAAAAGAATCTTAGAAAGGCTTGGGAAAATATCTTTCAGTTGTAACTTCAACAGATACTTGGTTTAAAGCACTTAAATGTATCCAGTCGTATTAGAACAAGACACCAGTTAATTCAAAATAAAGCGATTCATCTATTTCACTGTTCTCAGGGAAAACTTAATTCAACATTTCCATCAGTCCTGTGAGGATTCTCTAGGTCACAAACTCTGTGTTAAACTTCAAGTGAACGGTATTGCAATTTTGCAGAACTTAATGGAATATGCAAGATTTACGAAATACAGATTATCTTATTACTTCTTACATTTTTTTGGCAGATTGAATATGTTCAGAATAGCCTATACTGCAAATTTAAACTTGAATTGAAATGTTAATTTTTATATTTTGTATTACTAATACGTGATTGTAAGACGTGTTTTGTCATGTTTGTGCTATCGTTATTGAACAATGTCAGTAAGTATAGTTTCCCCTTCTGAAGCTATAAGAGCTAAATATAAATCATTCAAATGACTTATTTGTATCCAATTTTGATCACAATTACATTTTTACAATGACTTCGTGCTTTTATTGTGAAGGAAATCTTGTTGAATTGATCAATTTACGTTTTATTATTATTAATTCCTCTTCAGGATCGCTTTACTTCCAAATACTGCAGCCTATCCAGCGTTTCTTTAAAATAGTGTTAATTTGTCAAACAGAATAGCTCAAAACTTATTTTCTTCCACGATGACTTTATTTTCAATGTAATACCGGAAGAGTGATCTTGTTCTCATCCACGCGACTTGACAGAAGAGTCAAAAAAGTGACGTTGCAGGATAAACAAACGGAGCTTGGGCAGAGTCAGAGAGGACAACCTGTATTCTGACATTTTGTCCGAATATTTCCGGACGATGCAGTCTTCTAAGAGGAGCGAGAGTGACTGGCAGGGGCTGGTCAGCGAGGTGAGTGGAGGGCCAACGCCGCGAACAGCTGCTGCGGAGACGGACTGATTTTTTGCAGACGCTCCCTTGGACCGTGTGGAACGAGCTTCGCTGTCTTGGCATTACTTAATAACAGACCGAGGAGCTTTTTAACATCACATAGAAAACCTCTTAACGTTACTTGTTCGTGTTGTGCTCGATATGCTGCAGAACAAATGAAGGGGTAAGCTAGCGTGCTGTTGTGTCAGGCCGACAGCATCCAGCATGCAGGGACACTCCTGCCCGCCTCTTCAACATGTACAGCACGGTGATACGTCAGACCAGACGTATAAGACACCTGTGGGGCTGCAATTAACGTTATTTGTTAACATAACTAGAACCAATGTATTCAAACCTAACTTAATGAGTGAGATTCGATGAAAAGGGATATATATATATATATATATATATATTAGCACGGACGTTATAATACAAAACGTTATGTGAAATGTACAAAGCAACAAAAAAAACTTTTTGGAAACTCAAACAGTAATATAGTAATTAAATTACTTGTGGTCGAGCCTGACTACACACTGCCTCTGCACAGCCAGCTCTGCAGCTGCTATTTAATTTGGTTATAGGCGGGTCTGACAGCTATCGAGGTTTACTCTGCTGTGTCTTATCTCCACCTTAAACACTTGGCTCCAGTGTGTGTGTTTTTCCACCTGTGGGGAACCGTTCGGGGCCAAGAACAAACTGAATTATGGTGTTATGATTGATGGATAAGATATGACCTGTGGTCCCTGGAATTAACACAGAGCTACAGTGAACTGTATCCACACAAAAACAAGCATCTCATAACACCCCTGCTCTCTGTTCTCTCCCTGTGTGCGCTGTTTGTCTTAGTTCCTGGTGTGTAAGCGCAAGCTGGAGAGTAAGAAGGAGGCCCTGCTCATTCTGTCCAAGGAGCTGGACAGCTGTCAGCAGGAGAGAGACCAGTACCAGCTGATGGCCAACCAGCTGAGGGAGCGCCACCAGGGACTCAAGAAAAAGTACAGGGAACTCATTGTGAGTGGGTCAAGGTGACGCTGATTTGTCCACGTGCGCATGATTGGCTACGCATGTTTGTTGGTTTACTAGGACTCCATGTGACAAAGCAGTCAGGTCATGCTCAACAGTATGACGACGAAGAATATTTTGATTGTTTGCCTCTTTTCATATTTTAGGATGGGGACCCCTCCTTGCCGCCAGAAAAACGCAATCAAGTAAGTTGCGGTTGATTTCAAAGTCAAGTATTTGCCTGCATTATATTGCAGTGTAAATGTTATGTTGACTCAGTTAGGTGAGGATAACCTCTGGCACGTGACTTCACATCAAATACAGATCACGTGCTCACACGGCTTGCAGACTTCTTATATGACAGCAGTAACAACATGCCCCGCTTACCAGATAATCATAGTTTGGATAAATGTTAAGGTGGTTGTGTCTGTAGGACTCTGCCTGGTGGTGCGTTCAAGGACGCTGTGACCACCAAAATTTAAGAGTTTCTCCATGATGGATCAAGAGGCCTTTCACCAGCTGTTTTGCAATAAATGACCGTTCACTTCATTTCTTCTTCTTCTTCTCCCCCTCGTTCTCCTCAGGTGAACCTGGCTCAGCTGTTGAGAGACTCGAGGGAACGAGCAAAAAAGCTCGCTGAGGAGGTGAAGGAGCTGACTCAGAGACTCATGGAGGCCCAGGGGGATAACAAGGTGACATGAGGATGACCCCTCCTCACTCAGTCCAGTGAGTGAGTAGATGTGTTCGAGAGAAACGGTGAATTCAGCGTGTTTCCTTTTCTTCTGCAGCTCCTGAGGCTGACCATTACTCGACAGAGGCTGGGGGATGAGGACGTGGGGGCACGCCATTTCCCCGCCCATGAACGGGAGGATCTAGTTGACCAGCTTGAGAGAGCGGGTCTACAGGTTGATACAGTTCCTTTGCTGAAAATAGCGTGTGCACCCTCAGCAAATTCTTCTCTCGTAAACAAAGCTGTAAGCGCTCTCACAAACAGTTTTTGCCTTGCTGCTTTTTTTTCTAGATGGAGGAGATGGAGCACAACATGAAGGCCGTGACAGACGAGCTGCAGGACGTGAAGGCGGAGCGCAGCGTGTTCAGGGAGAAGGCCTACCGACTCAACGTGGAGCTCAACCACGTGTTGGATAACCGCGAGCCTCGCATCATTGATGTGGACGCCCTCTGCATGGAGAACAGGCAAGTGGGACAAAGAAGCAGATAGTACACACAGCTACCTATCTACTATCTACTATCAAGTCCGCTCCACTTGTAGTTTTCTGAATCTTCTCTCCTCTTTTTCCTCTTTCTGACGCTTCACCGAGCCATTTTAAACTCTAAATTTCATTGTTTTTATTCATTATTTTCTAACATGCTTTTTAATAAAAGGGAACAATGTATGAACATTAGGTCATTAACATTACACAACATCAGTACAACACAATAACATGACATTAGTAAAGGCCCTTTTACAATATCTTTGGTACCCTTTACGTAGTAGTTGCACCTTTTTAAATGTTTAAAAAATCATATATACGATTGTCTTCAAGTTAAAACTATTAGAGTCTGGTATGTCTTGCATGTAATCAGTCTTGTTATGTGTGCTTTGGCTCTCCTGATGTATTATTTTGTTCGTAGGTATTTGCACGAGCGCTTCAGCCAACTACAAGAGGAGGTGAACCTGCTGAAATCCAACATCATGAAGTACAAGGTGCGGATGGAGTGCCTCTGATTTCGGGGGCTTTATGAATCCTGAACAATTGATTTGACTTCTGCTCAATTTGTATTCTCATGCGTACGCACTAAAAGCAAGACTTTAATTCATCAAACATGGCATGGTCAGCTTTATTCTCTTTGTTTTCCCCCCCCCCCCCCCTCTGCACAGACGGCTCTTGAGAGGAGGAAAAACTCCAGCACATATGGGAAATCAAACAGCAGTCCCCTCACTGGAGTTCTCTCAGCCAAGCAAGGTGAAAACACAAACTGTTCAGCTCACTTTGAAACTCCCGACATAAATAGATCGCCGATCTGGAGAGTGTTGAAGGCCAGTACAACGTTGGCCATCATCTCGGTCTTTATGGCACGTAAAGTAGTTTTTGATCAGATAAACTCTTCAACTGATCCTTTCTTCAGTGTAACAAATCCGTTTCTTTAAAAGGCCCCTTGGTTTCTTGCCGTGTCTCAGCACTTTATTTAATAACTCCCTTCTTTTTTTTTTTTTTTGCCGATGCTTCAAGCCACCGCCCCGGACTCCAGCTGGGCTCCTAATTGTATTCTGAGTGGTAGAGAGCACCACTGGCAGGGAAATGAGCCTGCCAAGATGACTGACAGTTGCTGGCAGAAGCAGCACAGTGGGCTCCGGAGTTAAAGAGAGGAGAGTGTCACTAGTAGACAGCTGTTTCTAACTCTCCATCTCTGCCTTGCTCTTGTCATGCTGTTTTTCCTCCCCATCTCATGTTAATTCACCCTCTCTTTTATATATATTTTTTGTGAAAGTTTTGTAGGAAAAGCACCACTTATTATCATTGATGGCTTCAAATTTAAATAGCTTTCTCATTAATCTTTCATCCCTGTGTTTCTTTAATCTGCCATCCCTATTTTGTCCTCTCCCTCTCCTTTTGTAGTCCAGGAGATGCTCCTGGAAGAGCAGGGCTGCAACCTGCCAGCCACGCCTCAGTCCATCTCTGACCTCAAGTCCCTGGCCACGGCTCTGCTGGAGACCATCCATGAGAAGAACCTGGTCATCCAGCACCAGAGGCACACCAACAGGTACTGAAATGCGACATTACAGTGGTGTCGAAAAGGAACCGCTGACTGCAAGGACTTACGGCGTACAAGCAGAATGTTTGCATACCTGTTCTGAAAATCCTCCTCCACCTCCAAGACAAACACTGAACTCTGACACACACACACACACATGCACACACACACTGTTCATCAGTCCCAAGAAACCTGATCCATTGTATTTGGTCTGCAGGATCCTTGGAAACAGATTGGCAGATTTGGAAAGGAAGCTGAAGACATTGGAGGTTGCTGGACTCTGGAGTCTTCCAGGTGGGTCTCAGGGCCAACTAAAGAACCACTTCAGCTGGACCACGTTGCAGCTTCCTTACTGAAGTCCTGGAATCATTTCAACCTGACATCAAACACAATCCACTTATAGAACAAATACAGAGTAATCACAGTCATTTACATTTTTTTTTAATATATATATTCTTTTAATATTTGCAAAAGCTTTGACCTGGCTGGAAATTGAAACTGTACCACACCGTTAGCAAACATGACCATGGGCCTATGGGCCGTGTTTGTGCGTGCTAACCAGGTTTTATAATTGAGAATTTGCTTTAGAAATTTGAGTTTTTCCTAACATTAATCCTCTCTCTCGTTGCATTTGAATCCCTTTTTCTTTCGTCATTTATATTTTTAAACCGATTCTTCTCTCTTTTCCTTTATCTAAATACATCATTGAGGTTTTATGTTGATAACAGTGTGTCTTTCTCTCTCTCTTCTCTGGCTGCGTCTCAGGCTTGACCTACCGCGTATCCGTGGGAATTGGGAGTATGTATTCCTTCTGCCCCACTTAGCCCATCCATGCCCTCCGCTATGTCACGCCAGGACAAATCTGGGCAGATGCCCAGAAAGCGTGTCACCTCATGCCCACCGTTTACAATGTGTTTACTCCATTGACCACCCGCTCATGTGTCTGTTCATGATACCATTGACTGCAGCAGGCTGTATGAGTATCAAATGCTGGTCGTTTTGGTCTAGTGGATCCGTCTGAAATTTGACGTTCAGGGAAAAAAAAAAGATAATATATTAACGTTGAGGTTGGGAACGTTTTACGGGCAGGCAAGACCTTGTTAATGCAGCGCACTGCTTTCTTCTGGGTTGATTTAAAAATAGGCTCAGATGCTCTCTGGCAAGATTTTGAATCGTAAATCATTTGAGACCAAGACTGAAGGCTGTCATAGCAGAGAGAGGGGTATGATGCAGACTGTGTAGTTGTGGATAAGAGAACAAGAAGTGATCAACAGACAAAAGTTATTTTTCTGGGAATTGGGGTCAACACAATACAGTGTTTTTAGGATATGAGAGGGATAATTAACAGTGAAATATGCTGTCAATACTGCAGTTATTCTTTTTAACATTCTTAGCAGAGAGTGGAGAAAAGCAACTTAAAATTGAGGAGCAAAATGTAATTTAAATTTAAAAAAAATGTAGTCCTCTATCCATGCATTATGATGTAAACACAGGCTTATATATTAAATATTTTAACATGCACTGTATTTATAGCAGCCCTTACATTTTGCTAAGACATCAGTCAGCTGTTCCCTCCCTTTAAAAAAATAATAATAATAAAAATGTCATCCTTTGAGCAGCAAAACCAAACAAAAATGTCATCTACCAAATGTAAACTGCATGAAAATGTTCTATTTGCAGTCTTAAAAGAATTTCCAAATGCAACCAGGAGACGAGGCGCTCCACCGAGTAAATAGTTCCCGGCTCTTCCCACTGGAGGGGGATGTTGTGCCGTGCATGAACCAAATTGAGAGGTGGAGAGACTGCGGCTGGATGGAGGTGCCCTGTCATGAGACCGTCATTCTCACTGCCATAAAACTGACAAGCATCCATTACTGAAAATGATTGCCCACATTACAAACACATTTAGGGGAATGTGCCGTTATTAGGGAATTTGTAGGCGAGGGCCCAGAGTGCCTGACGACCACGCTGTCCACCACAGTTAGGGAGACAGAAATATATAGAGGGATGTGAGCGTCTGTGGCCTTGATGTGATATGAAGTTGTGCTGATGGATATTAAAGGCAAACAGGATAGGATGGAGGGCCTTGGCTGCCTGTCTGAGGCCCGGAGAACACTCGAGGTGACTACTTCGTCTCCGGATGAGGGAGAGACAAAAACAATAACAATGACATCGATGCAGTGAGTCAGATAAAGTTGTGATTGATAGAACCCCATCAGTCCTCCAGTACACCCAACCCCCCCCCCATGGTGACGGAGCGCAAGCTGAAATGTAACACAGCAAGTGAAAGCCTGTCAGTGTGCATCAGCTATTGGAAAATGCATCCATGTAGCTCTGTTTTGGACAGCACCGCATCTCAGTGGAGGCTTTAACCATGTGACTATTTGACAGATGTCTCTTTTTTTCTTTTTCTCTCCTTATTTGTGCTATAGAGAATGTGATCTAGTATATTGGAGTTATCATATCATGCAGAAGAGTCTGTCATCTTTGCAGGATGGGTGCAAACGCATAGAATGGAGATTCTTCTCAACTGATATCGATCGGTTGATACCTCTGTTTGTATCGGGTCGTGGGCAGTCACTCAAATGTCATACGTGGTTATTTGAAATAACAATTTTATGATTTAAAGAGAAACGAGGCTACAAGTCTACTTCCACGCGAGCGATACTTCAAGCATGCTCACAGTGGCAATGCTAATGTTTCGCACAATGTTTACCATCTTTGTTTACAGTGTTCGCATGCTAACATTTGGTCAATAGCCATAAACACAATTTATGGGACTGTCATTAGTTTTCCAGGTAATTTTGGTCATAAACCAAAGTACGGGACGAATTGAAACGTTGACCTGGGGTCACCAAAGTTATTATAATTCACCCTGAGGGCGCATGAATGTTTATACCAAATTGCGTGGCAGTCCATCCAATAGCCGTTGAGCCATTTCAATCAAAACCATCTGACATAATGATTAAAACCTCCGTCTCAAGTAAAGGAACTTTTTAGACAATCGGCAACTTTGTAGCTTTTCTTGACCTCCCCCAGTTGGTATGTAGAAGCCTCGGGATCCAACCAGCACCCACCCAATGCTATCACTCACTGTTCCCACATCAGTGTCAACACTGAGCATCCACCACAATATGCCCGGCATCCATAACAATATGGTCTCCGTTCGCCATTCATGATTCTCACGCATCGTGTCACCCAGTCATCCATTTTCTCATTCTTCTGTTTGTTTTTGTGCCTCACACTTGAATGGTCAGAGAAACAGGCCTATTCAGGGGGGTTTCTGTGAAGGCACAGGCTGATGTGCACAATTACAGGCTCGTGTGTATTCACATGTCTCTGTGAAGACAATTGTGTGTGTATTTGTGATGTCTGGTTTATAGCGCACAGTCTCCTATGAGTAGCATATGGTGTCAGCCTAAGAGGCGTGCAGCCATCACTAATGAAGACAGATGACAGGGAGCTGAAGCCACTTCCTGTGAGCACTGCAATGCATACGTGCGTGTATGTTTGTACACACAACACGGCGCCATACATGTGCTCGGATGAGCTCCATCCATATCCTAACATGCCCAAAACTCTTCATACTGCTCACTTTGTGTTTTGTTCCTTGTTTGGGGTCTTGCAGGGAATCGAGACAACGTCACACTGAGTGGAAATCTTCAACCGGAGCTTCATCCAACACGCGCCACGCCTCAGCCGAACACGCAGCCCAGTGTGCAGCCGCCCAGAGGTGAGCGTGCCTATTCTCTTTCTCCAGCCATTTGATAAGAGAACCCGCAGGTCACGGCATAAACACTGTAATTAGCCACCTCGTGCTAAACACTCCTTGCTATCTTCCACGTTTAACCCGAGTCCTATCCCGTCTCGCCTCCACTCCTCTCTGCTTCTCATTGGTGCAAGCTGCCCAAATGCCATGGCATTTTGGAAATGTGAAGCAAATTCTCGCCCGCTGACATTCAGAAACTTCTGCCGTGTTCCTTTTGAAAGGGGATGGGGGACGGGGGGGCCATAAATATGGATGCCAGTTCAAGTAATGGTGCTTTCTTCGTGTGTGTGTGTGTGTGCGTGTGCGTGTGCGTGCGCGCGCGTGTGCGAAAAGGTGGCTGAGACTCCATGTGCAGTCTTTAACCTTTTTGCCTGCACATCCACAAATATGGGTCAGTAATCCCCAAAGTGAGAACATATTTGGGTGAAGAAGCAGAACTAAGCTGTTGCTATTGCCGAGATGCGGGGCGTCACACTTGTCTTGAGTCCCCTTGTCTGGGGGCACTGCTGCTATATTTAGCCTGTTGCCATGGAAGCACTTCAGTCACATAAGTAATTGAAATAACTTTCTACGTTGCCACAGTGGTCCAGAAGAGGAAAGCTCTCCTCGTATTTTCTTTAGAAAGTGTTTTTTCCAACATATTTCAATTTTCATTTTGTTGTTATTGGCAGCTCTATTTTTGGTCGTTGATCATGCTGATGTTGCCAGATAACCCAAATCAGAGGCCATCTTCCTTCAGAATAGGGCCAAAAGTACTAGTTTTTTTTCGTGCATCTATGGCCTCGGATCAAGTGAGTAATTAAAATGACCAGTTGTCTCATCTTCCTTCTCCCAGTTGTGTCAGACGACAGAAGTTCACATGAATCATCGTGGGAATGCCACACTGCTGGCAGCGACCTTGGCACAGATGGCGTCAGCAGGGAAGACGCACCTGCACTGCTCAACAGCCTGGAGCCTCTAGTGGGGGTGGAGACGAATGGGATTGACAGGAGAGGGGGAGAAATCGTGACCCTGACAGAAGATGGAGCTCTGATAGAGCTGGAGGACGGGCAGAGTCCGGTGGAGGAGGCGGGGCATGAGGTGGAGGGAGTTGAGGATGAAGAGCTGGGCTCCACGGTGGAGGAAGGAGAAGAGGCGGCTCTGGCACTGGGCGTCGCGTCCACTGAATCGGACCTTCCGTGGCTTCCAAATGTGCGAGCCTCTGTAGATCAATCAGAGGTGGGCCGTCAGCCCTGCAACTCCCGGGACGCTCGGTCAAATCACGCGCCTGAACATGTGGAAACCTCACAATCAATTCCAGAGACCCAGCGCACAGAGGTGTCGAATGCAGGAGGGTGGGACATGGTAGAACTGCAGGGTGACACCTGTCGTAGTGACAACCTTGGCATGATCTGACGTCACTGAAAGCCTTTTAAATCCTTGTCCTTGTCGTTCTTGCTGGTAATTGCATTAATCGTCCCTAGTTGCATTCACACAGCGTGGCCGCCGCTCACCAGCTCCCCCTTGTTCCACCTCGCAGCTCCGTTTCAGTCAATAAAACGGAGAGAAAAACACTTTTTCAGCCGCCGTCGACGGAGCCGGAGGTGCACTTTGTATCTAGACAGGCTCGTTGCTGCGCAGGAACAGGCAATCTGGAAATCAATGGAGTTGCAAACTCCATGCCCTACAGGAAGAGTTTAGCTATGAAAATAACAGATATGGCAGCCTCAGCTCCTCTGCCCCATATTCCCTTCTTCCTCTCCCCTGCGATAAGATAATCCCAATTGTTTGCTTTCGTCTTCCTCCCAGGGGGAGGCCAACAAACAGTGCTGCATTTTGTTGTTCCTCTCATAGGTGGTCCAAACACTTGTAATGAATGTTTTGTAAATGTATGGAAATGAATAATATTAATATTCAAGATTCTATTTATGTATATTCATCTGTGTGGGTGAATATTACTGATCAGTCAGTTTTTATTTGTCCTTATTTATTTTAATTTAGAAGTTGATATTTGGATGAGACTACGCGTGCCTTATATGTGGAAGTACTGTATTTATTGATATTTATTCATATAAATGCATGATTCCGCAACATGACTTGTCTCGAAGTTGGTCTTTTCCGACCCATGCACATACACAACAAAAAATATCTGAGGTGCTTGTACCACAGGATGTACTTGGAAAGTAAAAGTAATGGTGAAATAGCTTAAAAAGCCAAGCAGATAAAATATAATAATTGATATGGTTGAAATAGGTTGCTAAAAGTAGCCTGGCGAATAAATGTCCACTTTAAATAACTATTTAGCGATACCGTCGTCAATGAAGGGGTCTTGAGTTCATCCTCTCGGGGCATGTTGGGAACCACGACATTGAAGGTTTTTGATTGGCGTTAGTATCGGCTCCCTCCTTTTTAAGCTAGAAACCACACAAGGAGCAATTCAATCTGATAGAAACTTCCGCTCCGACACAGAGGCTGACTTTGTGAACTTGGTGTAATATTTGTTTGAGCTTTCACACACAGATGAGGTTTGTTTGATAGTAATGTTCTGAAGCAGAAAATGAGCCCATATCCTCAGAACATCTCTCTGACTAATTTCTTTTAGTGTTCACAAGGTTGGTCTCTCATTAATTCTAAATGCAGCAGTCTCCGTCTATTGATTGTTTTTCAGATTAGAGCAGCTTAACTTTATTACAGCCTTGGGAGAGAGAATTGTTCCTGGCATCACAAATGAGTTGTCTAAAATCATGAAAAATATTCAAATTCTATTTTAATTGAATTAATGTAAAAAAAATTGGGAAATATATTTATTGCATCTGCCACTGTTTCGGGTTTTTGTTCATGTCCAAAAGAAAGTACATAATCGATGTACATAAAGATGCAAACACATGCACAAATATGATCGTATAACTTTAAAAACAAAGTTATAAACACCAAACGTCTTCCAGCACTGTAAAACGGATGCACAGACACGCCCATTTTGTCTAGCAGCCAGAGTCCACAACCCCACTGTGCATTGGGAGTCGGTGGTGAGGCCTTCTCTTCCTGCATGCAGGTGACAGCTGGCCTCTCCAGGCAAACGCAGTGTAAAAAGCCAGAACCCATGAACTGCTTATTCTGCAGAAAGCCATTTGCTATTTTTAATCTCTGACACAAAATAGAGAGAGAGAGAGAGAGAGAATTGAAGCTCTGGAGCTAGAGTATGGTGCGTACCCAGTGTCGGCCCGGTGCCAGGCAGCTGATTTGGCACACTGCAGCGAGCCTTTTATTTTCTCCAATGAGTTTGTTAAGTTTATAAACCAGATGGAGTCTGAACTAATGGAATTGTAAGATGATACCAGCTTGCATTGGGTTCTTCATAAAGTCGTTGACCTTTTTTTTTTTTGCATGTGTGTGAAAGCCTGAAAGAAATGATTGAGCTTTGCATATCTGTTAAAAAAGAGAAAGAACACTCGAATGAGATGCATTGTCTGATTCAGGGAAGACGTGGGAAGAAAGAGTCACAGTTGTGGGCCGGTTAAAGGTGGGACATGGGTTAGAGTTGACCATATTTATTTATATATATAAAAAAAATCACAAATGAACAGACCCCATATATCGGCTTTGTGTATATGTTGGCCAATGTATACAAATAAATTAAAGTGCAGGAATGCCAAAGATATGTTTGAGGTCTTTTAGATCTTACCATGACATCGTTTGTCCACCAGAGAGCACTGACAAATTGCAAATTGTCCCACTCAGAACATGTCGTGGCCACAATTCTCAAAATAGATGTTTTGCGTTTAATCTGCTAAAACTGGATTTCTTGAATTCTTTAATATTGAGATTGGTATTTGCGTCAAAAATCCAGTATTGGTCAGGTTATACCAGGAAACCCCAACAATTTTTAGGTGAGTTTATCAATATCGGACAGCTCGTGGTGATTTCAAGCTCTTATGAATGCATTGCCAGTTAGATTAGGCACAAAAGAAGAAGAAAGAAAACAGGAAGACAAGGTAAGACAGGTTCAGATAGTAAAGAGAAATAATGTGGAGGTGTATTGCTTGCTTAATCAATAATGACTTCAAATAACCTCATATAACCGCACAAACAACCATTATCGAAAAACCAAGCTGTATATGAGCTTTTTACTCACTAAAGATTCATCAGAGACGTATCACACGGCTGAAAGGTTCAGGCTGCCTCCCAAGACCCCATCGAGCAAAAGGAGAATTGTTGAGAGCTGTTGAAGCCAATCATCACCACTACAGATAAAAAGAGGCTGCAGTACCAGACCGCTAGCACATGCCAAAAACTAATCTTAGCCCCTTATCTGTGATGGCGACATCCCCCACTAGAGGGCAAGTAAAGAAATAAATAAAAAGTGCATTGTGAAGTGTTTTGATTGGCCCCATGCTGCTTCGATCACTCAGGTGTGTGTTTGGCCCTCCCCCTGTATTTGTGCTTCAGAGAGAGATCAAGGGAGGAATCATTTGTACGCGTGTGCATGACTTTTGTAGCTTTGTGCCTACCCTTTCATGTTTTAGATGTTGAGATGGGTTGTACCATAGCATATATACCACTCATCTTATCACAGTATCAACCAACTTTGTTCTGCCCCCCCCCCCCCAGTTATCTTACCCTGGAGCCTGGATAGTGGGAGAGACCAGCCGGGTCACGGCAATGCTCACTGGCTCTAATAAGTGTGACCAGGGAGGTTTTGACATCCCATCATCTCTGGGTCCTCCAAAGGTTTGAGGGATAGGGGTGGACAGGGGCATGTGGAGCCAGCAATTTCCAGGCCAACCACTCAGCAGGGTTAATTACTATACTACCCAGATGCCCCTTCCAGTGATGGTCGTTGCCCTTGTGATCCATGCTTCTTTCCCTCACCTTGCTTTTTTTTTTTTACACATACCTGAGTTATATCATGTGGCGCCTCCGAGACGCATGAGCCCCGCAGGACTTTCTCCCCGGGGGTGCTGCGATTTGAGGAGTGTAACTTTCTGCTCTGTTGCTGACAATGCTGTTATTATCTGAGATAATAGAGGAGGGGGAGAAAAAAGCAGGAAAAATATGTCAATCATCTTTTTTCTCTGCTTGTTTCATGTGGAGATAATAATTCTAATGTATCAGAGACAGACACGACATGCATAACTGCATCATTTGCTCGGTTTGCATTTTGATATGGACTCTGCAATTACCGTGTGGATTTTCTCATTGCTTCTAGCTGTCAAATTTGAATATGATTTAGTCAGTTGATTGGTAAATTGTGTCTCCACTTTATGAAGGCTATGTAGATGTAGTCCTGAGGTACAAACGGTGATGTTGTATAGAAAGAGTTCAACATTTACAGAAATAAACATATTTTGTTTTCGTTGCTTATTTAGATGAGTACATTGATATCACTCTCATATCTGTACGCTAAATATGAAACTAGAGTCTCATCATCACAGATATGAGGGTGGTATACATATTCTCATCTAACTCAACAAGACAGCATATAAAATGTCAAACTATTCCATTAAAGCAACATCAAACTGGCATGTAGTTGAACAGTTATTCAAATTACAGAAAGATTGGAAATACACTGGAACTGCATCAGCCCTCATATCAATATAGAAGTTTCTTTGATCACAGAATACTTGCTGCTCTGCCGCTGCCTGTTGTTCTTTGTCCCGTGTGACCTACCGCAGTAGTTTACAGATTACAAACTAATTGCATCAAAAACAACATGGCTCCGAAAGGCCCTGCTGGCCAAGCAAGGCCGGCAAAGTCGCTGGATGTTGGAGGAGTGTGAGCTTGTGGACGGCCGATAAGCAGAAAGGCCACGCCTGGGGTCAGCACGTAGCCACGGCGTACAGTCAGATCTCTATTAAGATAGGAGATGGTGGGCCAGTGTGATAAGAGCTGACAGGACCTGATGTGATATCAGTGATGGAGCAACAGCTGCAGATGCTATCTTCCCCTTCCCAGCAAGAGAATCACGGTTGGGCCAAACGTATTCTAGGCATTGGTATAATGAGGTAGTCCTTAATTATCTTCTCTGGTTGCTTTGTTTTTCTTTGTAGTTGTTTCGAGCGTCGGTTGTGGTCATTTTGTGTCTCTTTAGGCGACATTATGCCGTCTCGGGTGCTGTATTTGAATGAAATGTTACTGTACAGCCTTGATATGAACAAACAAATCAACCAAAACAAATATTAGTGAGGATTTGGTTGTCGGCTACTCAATACTGACTGTTGAAAATGACTGTGATCAGGATCTGGATCAAAAAACGATCAACACATTCCTACTTTTTACTGAGCTCTTTGACTTTCCAACAATAACAGTCACTTGAAACAGAGGCGTGGGCCTCCGAACCCTCGGACCGCTTGGCCTGTGGGGTTCAGGGATCCATTAATGCTCCAATATCATATGAAACTAAATCATGATAGAGGCATAAAAACATCACTTCTAGATCATATTATCTAACTTACTGTCATCTTTAAACCTATTTCATGTTCAGTTCTTCAATGCTGGGGGTTGCAGTTTAAGTTAATGCAGCAATATTCCAAATGATTAGTCCCCAGTGTTAGTAATGTCCATACTCTCATACTGCCAGCTCTGCAGCTGTGTTTGCCAGAGCTATTTCAAACAGCGTTTGGACTGCTATTTAATAGCCTGTGAATATGAGACAGACAGAAAGGTGGGGGGGAAACTGTATTTTAAATTATCCTTGCATATTAGAGAATTATGACTTTGTTGTAAAGTTGACTTCTCCTTAACCATCACCATCAATCCCCCAGCTATAAGCAATGAGCCATTTGCCATTATGCAGCTTGTTAGTAATGTCCAGGCTGTGTAATTACCTGTGTCAACGGCAATGATTGTCTTCAGTGACAGATTATTCATCACTTTATAATTGTCGAGGTTGAAAGAAGGATTTCTAGTTCTTCTATAGCAGAACTGAGAATTAAAAATGTCCACGCTCATCACCTTTCCTGCTTGCACCTTTCGGGCTGGATCAAGTGTGTCTGCAGAGTCCTGTAAACTACAGTCCTGATAAAACAAGACAAATACCTATTCCTATTCATACTGAAAGGAAATTTAACTAAATAAAAATACTATAAAAACTCCATACATCACTACAAATGGTGTTCATCAGTCACATTTCTTTCATGTGGCAATGGGAAAATTCTCAAACATCGTGATAATTATTATAATAATAACACCCCTTGAACCTATGAGGTGGTTTAGTTACAGACTACTGGCACTTATGTGAAGGGCAGATGATCAGTGGTTTATACATTTGGGTATCAATACTGCCTGGAGGAAGCCAGGAACAAGCTTTAAAATTAAAGGAAATGAATGAAGAGGAAGATTAGCAAATTAATTTGACCAATAATGTCACTGCATCCTTCAAAATGTAATGTAATTCATCTGTTTTGGATGTCCTTAGAAGTCAGTGTTTGCAATATGAATTGCTGTATTCAATATTTAGATTTTTTTTAAATAAAATAAAAATGATATGTGATGCACTCATATGACTTTTGTCTTGTTACAGACTAATTAATTGAATGGCTGTTTTTGCTTATATTGCAGTTATACTCTGCAGATTAGAACAACAATTTAAAGTGGGTCTCCAGCCATGGTGGTGTGTATAGCTTTCAATCAAAGAACAAAGCAGTCTTTATATACTGAGCTCAATAATAATCTGATCATCCATGCAACGAGTCCTGCATAACCACTAAATTATAACGAGGTTGCTTGAGACAAAACGCACACCATCCTGCACTGCAGTGACTGCAGCTTTGGACTGAAGGGGCGAGGGAACACTCGCGTGTGAGCGTGCGCGAGCGTTGTTTGGCGGGCACATCATCATCCCGACCGAGAGGCAGGCAGCAGACCTCCCACATCCTCCCCCGAACCACTGCATCGTATCTGCAGCCACTGCGACAGGCGTTAACGGACAGCACCATGTGCATTGCTCAGTGAAGCCAGTACCTTTTTATATGCAACGTGCTCGCAGGGTCTCACAGTAAACCACTGCTTTCGAGTCATTTTGTCAAGGATAACGATGAGGTAAGAGCTTCCGGTCGCCATTTTGCTGGTGTTTTGAGGGGAATATCTGCATGGAATAATAAGCTGCTGAAGCCGCTGTTTGGAGGATGTTCAAGCGACATCGTTTAGATTTGGGGGATGATACTTCGCCCGGTAAAAAGAGACCTTCCGACGGGTATGTTACGTTAGCGTTAACTAAAAGCGTCCAGCTGTTGGAAGTGTTTCTCCCGGCTGTTTTGCTGTTGTGCTGTTTCTAACTAGCCGTGCTAACGCTAACTCGTAGCACGTTTAGATAGCGAGCTAGCACCGGCTAGGGTGTAAATGCACAATTGTTCTAATTATGACATTACCAGTCACCTGCATGGGGTTATTGTATAGCGACACGGTCGCGCTGTCGCGCAATGGTCCAGCAAAGTGGCTAGCTAGTGTAAAGTTAGCTAACCTAGCTAGCCAACAGTCTGCCTGTTCTGGGCTGCACGTGGCTACATGCTAGCCAGTGCTAGTTTAGGCGCTGTGTCTGAAATATAAATACACGCATTTCACGAGCCAAAGTCAACATGTCTTAATTCATTCCTGGTTGTTATGGCATGTAGCTTTTATTACACGTTGAAGGAAAGCTGAACACATAACCCCCCCCTATAGCCAGGCTAATGTTAGCCGTTTAGCGGAAATGAGATGCCCTGTGAGATGTCACTGCTATGTCTCAAATTACAGTCCCAAGTCAGTCGGGCGACTTTTGCAGCAAAGGACTGCTGAGCGTTCACATGTGGGTCTGATGGGCCTGTAGAAGTTGGAGGACCAAGGAAGAAGCATCCCTGTCAGTTGTGAAAGTCACAGAGAGTGTCGCTGCCCTGGATTTGACATCGCTTTGATTGACCGGGAACGACGAGCAAAATACAAATTTACACCATTGACTGGATTGCATGCATCACGTGAAGGATAACTTGGAGCCCGACGTTATTCCACTTGCATGCTGCAGCTTTCCCATTGTCAAGTACATGAATGGATGGAGAGGCGTGCATCCAAGCGAGCTGATCGGTGTTGAGGTTTCGGACCAGATGATACACCTCTGTATGAGTCCTGCTTAGCTTCACTTTTGTTGTGACGCACTATACACAACTGTCATTGACACATTTAGACACAACTGAATCGTGATTAGTAGTAAATATAATATACATTAGTAATGGAAATGTGTCAGTTTTGTGTGACAATGCTTCATCAAATCTTAACTCCACGAGTCTCCCTCTCACAGGCGTGACCGGGACAGAGACCGCGATGAACGGTCGAGGGACAGGGACCGGGACCGAGCCCCAGACCGCGACTGGGACAGAGATGTGAAGTCATCCGGGGTCCCCATCAACCCAGCTGCAGGCTTCCTTAAGCCAAACCCCGTTCAGCAGCAGATCAACCCCTTCACCAACCTGCCCCACACTCCACGCTACTACGAGATCCTGAAGAAGCGGCTGCAGCTGCCAGTCTTTGAGTACAGAGAGCGCTTCACTGACATCCTGATGCGTCACCAGTCGTTTGTGCTGGTGGGAGAGACGGGCTCCGGAAAAACCACACAGGTACGAGGCAGAATGTTAAAAAAAAGTGTCAAATTTATTTGAAATCCAGTAATATAATTGGTTTGATAGTAATGGTGAGTAAAAAAACAACAGGGTGCAAAGAACATATGGTGCATTTTAAACAGTTCCTCTGTGGAGCTGATTCACAGTGTTTGGTTTCAAAGTTGTTGAAAGAGCTAGGTTGTCTGTTTTTTTTTTATATTTGAAAAGTGAGAAGATGCGAGTCGATCACTGGTTGAGCCTGAGCATCCTCCTGAAGGGACTACAAACCATCTTCCAAACACTTGTTAAATAATTTGGTGTAATCTTCTCAGTGCGTTTATCCTCATTTGTAATCCACACATCCATCATGACTTTTTGAACAGACCTTTTGTAGAGTGTTCAGTTTGCGGTCTCCTCTAAATACATACATGCTCACCAAGGCAGGAGCTCCATTTATGGATCTTTAAGGATGGCCATTTGTGGTAATTGCTCATAAAATTAATGGGGAAAATTCATCAATGAAATTTTAAAGAGAATGTTTAGTATTTTATTCATCTTTCTCCCAATTGTCAGTGTTTTAAAACAGAAATATACTACACTAACTCTTGTCTTAATGCAAATGCAGCTTAAATCATGAGGTAGCATGCAGGCGTTCCACCAAACATAATCTGATGATCAGGGTCAGGCCCTGTGAGCCCGCATAATATATGTTCTCACTGTCCTTGACATGTGTATCTCTTCCAAACCTGTCGTCTGCATTTTTTTTTTTTGTGTGATTCTTCTGATTGGATGACATTTCAAAGACTGGTAAGAGTCGAATCATCTCTAAAGGGCAGTCATCTGAATCTCAAGCTCAATAGAGTGGAAGTAAGACACTCTTCGTTTGGAGCCTCTCTCAGTAAGCTGATTCTCTGTTTTTAAGCTCTAAGCAAGAACATGCCGTCTGTGAAACATGTTGACGGGTAAAACTCTCACAGGTATTTGTTTTTCAGGACACGGTAAGCCGTAGTGACGCACTTATTTAAATGTTTGTTATACTCCGGTACACCCACTGCATTAATTCCCCTAGTTTGGGGTTTTCATACAGAGAATTCCTGTGACGTCTTTTACACAAACCGGGCTCGTCTGCTGTCTTCCAGATCCCTCAGTGGTGCGTGGACATGGTGCGGTCGATGCCGGGGACAAAGAGAGCCGTGGCCTGCACCCAGCCCAGGAGGGTGGCAGCCATGAGCGTCGCCCAGAGGGTCGCTGATGAGATGGATGTCATGCTGGGCCAAGAGGTGGGCTACTCCATCAGGTTCGAGGACTGCAGCTCTGCCAAGACCGTACTCAAGTAAGAAGGCCAGTTAGAAATATTCCCCTCATGTCTCCGTTTATGTTCTAAGCAACCAATGACAAAAGTTCATGGTCATTTTAGTCCCGGGACTACTTTTTAAAAGATCAGTAAGGTTTCTTCAGCACCATCGTTGTCTGTGTTTCCACAGCAGGCTAAAGACCTGCAGACTGACAAGGGCGAAATAAACCGTGTTTTTTTTCTCGCTGCGACGACATTTACTGCTGCATAGTATTTACTGATGCATGTTGTCTGTAATGAATGAAATGCAAAGAAGGAAATTTACCGCTCGCGCAATCTGTTTTTTTTTTCTGTCTTTTTTTTTGCCGACAACAAAGCCTAACTATACTTTTGATGTTATCAAACACAAAAATGCTTTCCCCTCATCCTACAACGGTGCTAAATTTATACTCGAGTAATTCGTTTTTATGAATGAAGCGGTACGCAGGTTGTGCGTTTGACCAAACAATTTACTCTAATCCATCTGGATTTTTATACTTCCTCCCCCTTTGATGATGTCCTGACTGACCACAGCAGTTTGAAGGGAGGAATGCTGTGCTCATTACGTTCATTTTCAACAGGGTTTCCGTTGTGTGTGCTGATGAAGCCTGCATGTCTTTTTCTTCGTCCAGGTACATGACCGATGGAATGTTGCTGCGGGAGGCCATGAATGACCCTCTGCTGGAGCGCTACGGTGTCATCATCTTGGACGAGGCACACGAACGCACATTAGCTACAGATATCCTCATGGGAGTCCTCAAGGAGGTGGTCCGCCAGAGGGCTGACCTCAAGGTAAAAAACAAGTGTTATTTTCTCATGCGATCTTAAGTTTTGGATTATTTATTGCAATCTTTTGATAGCAGGTAGATTCATTTGAAAGGTAATACAAGTTTGTATTTTTTATTCTGGAAGATCCAGCTCACTTTTATTTAGCTTGTGTCTCTAGACTTGGTGTTGAAAGTGTTCTTGACAGTAGTCAGATTTTGTTTCTACAAATATGTCCCACTTAATGCCTTTAAAACACTGTTAAAGCCCCAAAACACCACCTCCTGCGGGGTATGCCCCTCTTCCGTCATCTCCCTTTTGTCACATTTTCTCCCGACAGTGTCGCCGTGTCTGACGGCTGTGTGTCTGTTGAGCAAAGAGAAATGTCGCTGTTGGGCTCAGAAATGCACATCTATTCTGCACCGCAGCACGAGTGGAGATTGCTCCTAGAATCGGCCCAATTTTAAGCCAATCAACCAAGGGGGGGAGAATGGCAATGTGTCGGCGTGGATGGGAGCGTACAGGCAGGTGGAGGTTTTATAGTCAGACTGTGCCAGACATCGCTCCCATAAAGCAGATGGATAATGACTGGTTGTTTGTCAGCGTGGAATCAAAGGTTAGATTGTTGTTCGCGGACTGTTAAATGAGGTCTAGGTTATTGGGAACGATCATCCACCCACACACCCCTCTATCTCCTTGATCCCTATCCCCTTTCAAAATTTGAAAGTTTAATTTGCCTTGATTAAGAGCAATTATGATGTCTCGCAGAGCGTAAAGCGAGATGCTGAGACACTGGCCCCTGAAAATGTTTGAGATTGAAAATGGGAGACGCGTTTCCCATCAGAATCCTAATGCGCTCTATCTAATGGCTCTGGAGAGAACATTGTGTACCCAACGTCAAGAACCCGGACTGTCCTAGCTCTGTGTAGGTCAGCGACTCGGAGTGTAATGCCAAGTTCTACACCGTCTTAGGTTCGTGCCAGCGCCCTCACCCTAAATCCTGATTCAGGAGCATTATTCATCCTGGATAGCTTTTTGCACTCTTCATCTATTCTGTATTTGGTGGCACCTTTATCCACTTAGTATGTGTCCTCCTCAATTATCATCAAGCCATATCAAATGATAACTCACTCCCGTAATCACCACATTTACACTCTGCTGTCCTTACTTTCAGTTTCATCTTCCCCTTCACCGCTTTTGTGAATACACTGTCCCTCACAGACTATTCCTGTGCCCTTGTCCATCCAGGTGATCGTGATGAGCGCCACGCTCGACGCCGGCAAGTTCCAGGTGTACTTTGACAGATGCCCGCTGCTCACCATCCCCGGACGCACGCACCCCGTGGAGATCTTCTACACGCCCGAACCAGAGCGGGACTACCTGGAGGCCGCCATCCGCACGGTGGTCCAGATCCACATGTGTGAGGTGGACGAAGGGGACGTTCTGCTCTTCCTCACTGGACAAGAGGTACGCCTTCATGGGTTTTAAATGTTTTTTACGGATTGCCCGAGTTGTTCTAGGTTTGATAATAGAGATGCACTGATTGCAAATCTGAAAGTTGTGACAAATTGCGGGCTGTAGGGCTGATGCTAATGATTATTTTCATCATCGATTAATTGTTTGGTTATTTTTTCTGGTAGTCGTCTGGACTTTTATGCCCATCACAATTTTCTAGAGCCTACGATGACATTTTCAAACAGCATTTTTCTGTCAAAACTGACAATGAACGACTAGATGCATGTATATTGTTTTTTTTTTTTTTTTTGTCCAAACAAACAAGGTTATAGCCTTGTGCAAAGATTTTCTACATCCAAAGTTAAGAGTGTGCATATTAATCTAATTACATAGATGAGTTACTCCCATACACGGTGCCATGAGCCCACTCGTGCACCCTCAGCACAGGATATTATTAATCCTCAGTTTGATAGATGTTAATGCACGTGGGTGTGCCTGCTTGGGAACCACCAGGATTTACACAGCGGCGGGAGAAAGAAAAAAACAACACAAAAAACGAGGAGTGACCTACATTCTGCCCTTCCCACAAATCTCTGAAATTAAGTCATTTATTATTATTTTTTCCCTCCCTCCCTGCAAATGTTGTCCACTGATGTGTAATAGAGGGCAGGGTTCATGCCCAAAATGATGAATTGGGTCACAGCAGGGTGAACACGCACAGGAAAGCACCAACAAATATTTCAACGTCCCGATCACTGGACAGGAGAAGCCTGTCAGAGCCAACGGTGCCTGTGCTGGTATGATTATTCTCTCAGCACTCTGACAGAATGCTGCTGGAGACCATGTGATCACGTCGAGAATGTAACCGGTGGGAATACAGCACAAATTGCTCTAGAGATTAAAATGACATGTTGGATTTAAGTATTAATGCTTTTGTTCTGCGGTACCATCTATTTTTTTTTCATCCGTGCAAACTCTCATGTCGTTGTCTTTTTGGCTTCCCCAATCACATCTTGTGACATGTTGTTTATTAGCCGTAATTATTTGTCACTCAAACATCGGCCCCGACTGTGGCAGGACACCTACGTCAGTTTTCATTTGCCAAAGCAGGATCAATATGCGGCTTGTTACGAGGGGGATAAAGTCATCGGAGGGCACGGTGTTTGAAGTGGTCTCCTTCGAGGGCTGGTAATTGATTTCAGATTTAGTGGTATCCCGGCTGCTCGGAGGGCTAGAAACGCTGATCGCCCCTCCTGTGAATGTGTAGAAAAGTCTGGGGATATTTGCAAGCAATGTGTTGAACATTTCTCATGCAGTTAAATGTAATTTGTTGATTTATATTCCACCACACCCCCAACCCCCTGCACTGTGTCAAGCTAAGGCATTACTGAGAGCATTCCCACATTGAGTTCATTACCACCCCCCTCCTAATTGGGTTAAAGAAGTTAATGTGTGGTAGGTCTGGCAGAGATGGGTGTTCAAAGGGTGCGGCATGCCCCCCGAGCGCTTCTTAACCTCTTCAGTCTCCCAGCAACTTTGATGTAGACTAATGATCGGGAGGCAGATCCACGGCAAAGCCATAGACTCTTTTTTTTTTTTTTTTTTTTTTTTTTTTTTTAATCTGACTGTTTAATTTATAACCGGCGAAAGCAAAATGCACGGGACTCTCTCCCTCTCTCTCCTCCAGTGTTTTTTTTTTTTTTTTTTTCATGCGAGATATTTCGCTCCCACAAACAAATGGAACCGAAGCACCAAACTCCAAACAAGAAAGTTGAAACTTATCACAGCTGTTATGCAAAGATAAGTCCTAATAGTTAAGCTTCCCCCTCAGCAGCTAACATCAAAACACGGGGATTGGCGGGGCGGTTGTTTGCTAGTCAAGAGGAGTGCCTAAATGTGTCGGTTATTAGCTTGGCTGTAGATTGTTGCTTCTGGGGTTGCGGGGAGAGCTAGTGGACAGGTTCCCAACACTGGCCAACTGCCGTGTGTGTGTGTGTGTGTGCGCGGGTGTGTGCGCGTGCGTGCGTGCGCGCGCAGACACACACTCTGTCTTGATGTCCCTAAGGGACGGACAGCCAGCTTGCTTTGAGCGCTTTGGCAAAGAGGTCCTTTTTTTCCTTCCATGGCAGCTGCTGCATCCAGAGGCTTGATAGGCTATTAATACCCGGGCTAATTTTACCAATCCATTCAGATTTACCTTTTTTTCCACTTGTCAGCGTGTTGATTAAAAGGGTACACGGCCATCAGCGGGGTTCGACTTAATGCGACGAGCGAGGGGACAACGGGGCTAATAGCACACTTGCAGTCCAGAAGGAAAACAGGAAACCGCACCGCGGTGCTTTCTCATGTCAAAGGCAAAGGGTTACTGGCTTCACACGGTGGTACAAATTATGTCCGCTTGAGCCGTGCCTAAACTGATTTCAGCGCAGTATGCCTTTAGAGAAGAAAACCAAAAATGTCTGAGAATTTTTGTGGATTAGTTCGTTACCCTGCTAAATAATAAGTGTGCCTGTCTTTAAGCATCAGGATAATAGATGTGGTTCCTATTCATCATCACTGCCTTATGACTTCTCTTCTGGAGAAAGTGCTGCATTGCTCCCATGGGCCTGCAGGTGGTGCAACAGTACAGGCTGTAACGTGACGCATAAGGTAACCGCTCCTTCACGAGGATCAAACGATTGTTAGCAAAACAAAGGAAATGGTTCTTAACAGCGGGAGTTACTCGGGGAAATGAATAGCTGTTGTATGTTGTTTTAGGCCGTACCAGAAACCACTTAAAACCTTCAAGTATGAGGATTAAAAATGTGTTTGTTTGTGTGCTGGCAGGTAACATAATATATGTTTCTATGAGTGCCTGTGGAACGTGTAGGCCTATTTAGTGCGTTTAATAGTGTATTCCGACAGGCCTCCAGAGAAAGGGCTCTAACCCTGTGCTCACCATCATGCTTTCTTATTCCTGGCGCTGCTCAGGTCCTCTGTCTGTCTGCCAGCCCACCGGCTCCAGAACGTTCAGCTTCACTAAACTGATCTGCCGTGATTTGCCGCCGGTTATGCATCAGTGCTGCAGTCTCATTTCGCATTCCCCTCTACAATGCTGCACTGTGGAATAATGAACCCCCTGTTTGAGTCTGTCTGGCTCTGTGTGTGTGCGCCTTCGGAGCGTGCGCCTCCATGTTTTCCGTGATTGCTTGCATTTGACAACGGAGCCACAGGGAGCTCGGCAAAGCACACTGCAGTCCAGGTTTAATTTCCTCCGTCAGATGGAGCGATAGTTGGAACAAATGTACTGTAGCAGGGAACCACGGTTTTCCCCCGGCCGCCTCCCCCCCCCCACACCTTCCTCTGTCATCCAGATGCACTGCCGTTGTTCATCCAGGTGTCGTTCAGAAGCCGTTTGATTTTCCTGTTTACACACACGCACACACCTGGATTAATTGTTGCACTTGCGTCTTTCAGGAAATTGATGAAGCCTGCAAGCGGATCAAGAGGGAGGTCGACGACCTGGGCCCCGAAGTCGGCGACATTAAGATCATCCCGCTGTACTCCACGCTGCCTCCACAGCAGCAGCAGAGGATCTTTGAGCCGCCCCCACCCAACAAACCAAGCGGTGCCATCGGAAGGAAGGTATAACTGCCTGCAAAAACACTCTGAGGGGGGAGTTGAAAATGAGTGGGCTTGGTTAGAAAGGCCAGATGGGGAATACGGTGGGTAAAGGAAGTGAGGTGGAAGGTAGGGACTGAGACTTTTTTTTTCCCTTTCTCAGCTTTAGCGCAGGACTGACTCACACAACATATGCTGCTTTTGTCAGCATGCAATTCTCTGCTCTAAATTATAACTGGGGTATTACTCACGCCCTCTGAGCCTGAGGAAAGCACTGCATCCTCAGTCATTTTTATCTTTGCACTACGTGTGCGCAGGCCCCGCTGCTGCTCCGAGAGGAGGCCTCGGACCTCTGGCGCCACGTGAAATGCACATCACGTGAGCTGATCCCAAAACAGGGAGTTTTCTCGCTGCTCCTCCTCGATCACTTAATCTCAGAGGTGTGGCTGGTCCTCTTATTGATACAGACACGAGACAATTCCTCTCTCTCGTGTGACAGTTTCGATTCAGACGGGCTCATCACCGGAGTAGCGGCACCACCTGCGCTGTTGGCTGGGGATCTGACAGAATATCAGAATATCATCGCTGCCAGTTGAATGAGCAAACATTCAAACAAACACCAGCGTCTGATAGGGGACGGTGTCGATGACTGACTCATCGCTACAGCCCCTCTAATTGAGGCAGATCAGGCTGCAGTGGAAATATTTATGCGCTTTCAACGTTAAACACATTATGATGCTGTGAAACACTCAATTCAACCTGGATTTTTGAGAACATACGATTCCTCACAAAACTAATTGATTAATAATAGTCTATTAATACAGGAATGAAAGTGAACTCTGACAGTGTAACCTCTGAACTGTCAAGCCAGCCACCGCTACACTTCATTCAGCCTGTGAACAGCACAGGCGATGCCCCTTGTTTTCCCCTCAAGATCATAAACTGGAAAAAAATGCAGAGATGTCGTCCCAAGCCAGCCCGAGAGGAAGTAGTGAAAAAGAATTAAGGTTTGCGACGGCTGCCGCTACGCATGCTAACGACTGCATTAGGCACCCCTCAATTAACATAAAGCACTTGCTCGTCATTGCTCTATTTCTCCAGGAAAGCCACTGATCTTCTATTTTTGAACAGTTTAATCATTTAGAGCCATGGCAGCAATTGACTAATTACAAACAAAGACTATAATCTCACTTTGCGTTCGAGCGTCTTAAAGATTGTCTCAAGCAAATGTGCCGTGATGAGTGTTGGGTTTTGTTTTTCAACATTGTCACGTTTGTAATATTCCCCTCAAATGTCAGCCGTGATTCTGCCACGTCTCCGTTTCAATGAGCTTGGGCTGTGGCCGCGTGGATGCTGCTTAAGGCACGCTCTCCCTTCTCCCCGGCCGGGGGTAAAGGCTTTATTTGTCAACAAGGCTGTGTTTCCCAGTAGGGGACGTGAAAGATGGCCCGCGTTAGCCGTAGTACTTACTCTCCTGCAGGTAATAACCCAGAAATAACATGCAGAGATGATGCTCTAATGATATTACTGATAAAGAAGCCAGGATTATCCAGCGCAGCAACAGACTGGAAGGAGCCGGCCTGCGTTCAGTGTAATGGCCCTCGCCCGGATAATCCTTCAGAATCAATGCAGTCAATGAGGCCACCCATATGATCATGAAATGTGAGAGGTTGTCATGTGTGGCATCTGCTGGAGCACCGACTGTGTCCCAACACGCAGGACGGCGGCAACCTCACTGAGTCCATTTGTAAAAACGGACCTCTCATTCCTCGCTGGGACGTTTGTCGCTGACATATAGTGTCTGTCATGAGACAGTCTTTTTTATTTTTTTGGACAGCCACTTTAATTTCAGTCGGCCACAGTGTAGCTAATAGGTTTTGTGACGATGTAATTCCTCTGTATCTTTGGGCCACTGAGGGCCTGTTTCCACTGCAGGACCTTCGTTCCCTGAAGCTTCACATAAACTAATCTTTCAGGAACCTTTTGAGTCTTTGGTTCTCTGGTTTTCGTTGTATTTTAAAACCGGGGACGTTTCAGATATATGCCGTTTGAAAGGCGAAAGCGGGACCTACCAAATCATCTTCTGTGCTGTTTGGTTGGAGGTTGAAGTAAGCGGTTGTGGCACCGACAACAAAGTAAGAAGTCATGCTGGTTTTTCTATGTTTACATGAGGACTTCATAGTTTTTCCTGTTTATTTCACTGCACACACAGTCATCCTTTAATTTTCTAGAATCTTGTTTCTTTTACAGATTTGTTTCCTTTCTTTTTGGCAGTATTTTGTCTCTCCACTGAGAGAACTTTTTCTCCACCACCTTTTGTTTCTAGCAGCACATTCCAGCTCTCTTCCAGAGTACTCCATTGTTCTTCTTTGTTGTTGGTTGTCCTGTTTTGATACAGATGCAGTAGTAAAACGATGGTTATGGTTTCTTATTTTGTTGTCATCTTCGCTGAGATGTGACGACACATCTGCCTAACCAATAATGATTGACAGCACTGCCGGGCAACCTCTGAAATACTTTGATTTGAGTTATTAGAAATTATGTTTGAGGAACACGTCCCTGAAACTGATGGAGAACAGTGGAAAGAAAAGCAGAATAATGGCTCCACGCGACCGTCCTTTACGTGCGTCTTTGAACCAAGCGGTTGGTTTTGGTGTATTACTGCTTAGCTGGTTGTTTTTTTTGACGGCCCATATTATTTTCAGTTGTCAATCAAAATTAAGCAACTCCCATTTGTCATGGGGTGCTCATGTCAATCAGATCTACACAGCCAGTCATCCAAGAAATACACAAACGACCCAACCGTTTGCCAGATACTGCCGCCTGATCAGTTTCATACAGGCGTTTATTACCACCTCTTCATTCCTCTGCTTGAATACTAAGGGGAATGTGTCTTTTGTCAGGTGAATTACCCGAGGTTAAGGTCTGAATGAGTGGGGGGGGGGGGAGAAAGGCCCTCCCTGGCATTAATAACTAAACGCTCAGGCATTCTCAGGCTCAAGAGAAATCCTCACTTAAAAGGTGGGATTTAAAAAGTCTGTAAGGCTCGCAGCTTGAAGACAGCTGAAGAGGCACAGCTACAAAGGAAGTGTGTCAAGTGTGCAAAATTGTTTCTGTGGACCAGTATCAGCAATGACTACAGAGGAATGTTTGGTTTGGTGCTTGGCATTTTATCACGAGGACCACCAAATACGCAGACGGGATACCAAATGACTGCTCGGGTCTGCCCACAGCTTCTTCCTGTCTTGGTAGATGTTGAGCAAGTTTAGCACGGGATCGATAGCAATGTATATTCCCAAACACCCACTTGCATATTAAGCTATGACAGTGGAGTGGCAGTTGCCAGTAGAGCTGGCTATGATCCGGCCGCCACGGTCTCGAAAAAGGTTTCTCTGTCCAGTCTGTTTGAACTGTTGCGTAAGAGGAACTCGCCCTAGCGGCGGTCGAGGCTTGCGTGAGAGCAGCTGCAAAAATCTGTCTTCCTCTCTTCCCGCTGTGTGTATGCTTACAGCAAGAGACCCGAGGTAGGGTGATGTGACGCATTTGATTTTGCTCAGATTTTGCTTAGAGGATAATTGTAGTAGAAAGAGATCTGAGACTGGGTTCGTCTTATTCTCATTCTCACTTGTTTTTCCTACATTTCTGTACAAAGACACTTAAAGATGAAATCTAACCATTATCAGTTGATCAGAATTGCAGGAGCCGTGCGTTAGCCGGCGTTAGAATCTATGAAATCTGTATTTAATTTGAAACGTTTCCTTTTGCCCAGAACTGTCGACATGCAATAGAAATGGTACACAACCAGTGCCTTCTTTTTCAAAACTTGGATGGACTGACATTATTAGGGGGTTATGAGGACTTGCCACCTAATTATACATGCTGCTACTTCAACAGTTCAGCGCCGCTTTTGAGCACACGTTGGTGTGAAGTACGAGCGAAGCCGTCTCCACTGCAAATCTGCTGCTCACCACAATTGCTGCTCTATCGCAGTGAATGAGGAAAAAGTAGCGTACGTATTTGCACAATATTCTCTCAAAGTGCAGTACAAACTACATGAATGTAACTCCGTCTCTATAACTAGATGCATAGCCCACGGTCTCTATATTTCACAAAGTGAATGAAAGGATGTAAACACAGTTACTGTGGGGAATACATATAATTAAAGCACAATGCTGCCTGATCGCAGTGCGTCCAACAAGTGATGTGGTGGTGCTGTCGACGGGGGAAATCATTGCTGAACTCTAAATCAAAACCCACACCGTAGGTGTTTTCATATCTACGGCGGGACTTTGTTAACCCTTTGCATCAGCATAAATCCAGCTTTCTTCATAACGCCTGCACCCCCGGGTGTATGGATCGTGTGCTCTGAGGTGACGAAACAAATCCAAATTTAGTGTTTCATTGTAACGCTACTGCATTTTGTTTTAAACAAACCACCCGTGCCTTGTCTCACTTGTTTTTATATAGACTGGATGTGCCCATACATGCATGTTTCCATGTTTTTATTTCATGCTACATGCTGGAATAACGGTCCTCTGTTGGTGTTGGGAATTTAGTCAAATCTCAAAAGCTTCTACACAAATAGTAGCTTGTTTACTGTGGAAATACTAGAAGTGATTTTGTAAATATTTCAAACTGGACACAATGCAAACATTTGCAGTGGCAAGAAAAGACCCTTGGATGAAAGCGGTAACCATTGTAGAGCAAAAAGCAGGAACCATTACGGCAACTATTTCCAAGGGAGGGATGCTGACATCTCAAACAAAAACCAGCAGCATGCTGAGGACATTCAGACGGAACCCCCGACCTCGCACACACAATCACACACGATCACGTAACCCAAAAAGGGCCAGAGGTAATGCGTTTGGATTGGGACACTGAGCACCAAGCCAAGCTCTCAGCACAGATACGTTGATGGCCCGTTGAACGTGATTGTAGAAACTGTTGTGGTACTATGAGGCAGCGTGTGTGCGGTGCACTGTAGTGGCATCTCTGCCAGCTTCTTCAGTCAACTGGCTCACATCAGGCATTGTTTTTCAAGTTAAAGCAGATATCTGCTCTTGTTTTTCACTCCTTTGCTCTCCTCTACTCATGCTGAAGAAGAACTATGATTTGTTGTTTGAGTGCCAGGTCCAGTACCAGGTCTTGTCGGTCCCTCCATGCACCCGGGTGGATCATTTCGTAACTCATCCGTTCTCATTTCCACAGGTTGTCGTGTCGACGAACATCGCCGAGACGTCGCTGACCATCGACGGCGTGGTGTTTGTAATTGATCCCGGATTTGCCAAGCAAAAGGTTAGCTCATCCACCCTCCCCCATCTTCTCCCAGCACTCTTTATCTGCGATCATCTGCGTCTGTTGCCTGAGAATCCCCAGATAAACACGGCGGTGCACACCTGACAGCGGCAAATATGGAAAAGCCGGTTATTTATTCCTCTGACATTTCACCAGCCTGGAGCCAAGTCATACACGGGGCGACAGTAGAGACTCTATATGCATGGTGGTGTATAGTGTGTATGTCTCTGCTTTATAGTTAGTAGATTAAGGGTGTTGGTATGCACTTTTTACCTTAATTCTGTTTAGTTTACACTTTCTTTTCCCACTAACCTGAAATTCATCTTTCTCCTCTCCTGTCAGGTGTATAATCCACGCATCAGAGTGGAATCCCTTCTGGTTACGGCCATCAGCAAGGCCTCGGCCCAGCAGAGGGCAGGTCGTGCTGGACGGACACGCCCAGGAAAGTGTTTCCGCCTTTACACAGAGAAAGCCTACAAGACAGAAATGCAGGTAAGAAATACGGCGCTCTGAAAACGGTAAGAAATTCTACGAGGTGCTTGATTCTCACATTCTTCAACGCCACAAGCACTTTGTATTCCCCCGAAGCGGCCCTCTTGCTGGAAAAGCTCTCTTACGCAATATTTGCACTAAGAAGCCACGATTCCCAGTTGAGCTGAATTATAATTCCAAGAGCTCGGTGCTAAACCGCACCGCCTCCACCCTTCTTCATAACCTATGCTAACGAAACGGCCACTTTGTGACAAATGAACCAGCAGAGGCCCAGCTCTCACTTTAACGGGCTAATTCTTCCACGTCAAGTTAAATAGCCCTTCAAATGCCCCCAGACTCCCAGTCTCTGTTCAATTCAACATATGAGCAACGCACGAGGAGATGATAAGCGCCCAGACTAATTGGTAATGAACTGTTCCATGGCTTTGTCTTGTACCTCTTAACTGGCACAGGACAACACGTATCCAGAGATTCTGAGGTCCAATCTGGGCTCTGTGGTGCTGCAGCTGAAGAAATTGGGTATTGACGACCTGGTGCACTTTGACTTCATGGACCCACCAGGTTAGTAGGACTTTGTTTGTTTTGTTTACTCATAAAGACACTTGAAAGATTCTTTGCATTCGGTCCCATGAAGACGATATAATTCTTCAGAAGTTCATGAAATCAAACTCCATTTTTGACGTTATTTATGGTTTTATATTTTAGCCATGGTCACACATTCTCTACCTCTCTGTGTACTGTCGTACTATTCATTGTTGGTGCGGGGTCCATGTAATACAGTTTGTCCTGTATTTTATTTTGAAAAGCTACTCGCGCTTTGTGCAGCATGAACATGGGAGTGTTTGCAATTGTTATTAAAACTACATGAGCAGCTTTTGACATTTTTTTCCTGCGTTGTTAACTGATGCACCAGTTGCTCTTCATCCACTATCATCTGTAACGATAGCTCTTGATTTTTGATCAGTGACATCTGAATCTAAAATACAAACCGCTATAAAGTCTTCATTTAGTTGAACCGTGCTCGTTTCATGTACAATATCAAATCTGGGTTGGCTGCGTCACATGGGAGCTCGGGGGGGGAAACGACAAAGCAAAGATAAAATGATCTCGGCAGATATGAAATGCTGCAGAGTGAATGTTTGGAGATTTGACTACAAGCGCTCTGACAGACGTGGATTACACACCAGTGTTATGCGGTTTGAAGTTCAGTTGAATCACGCTGGATGTCGGCCAAAAAACCCAGTTATGGCATTCTCCAGGAGAGTGTGTGTTCCCGCGGAGACCACCCCTCCTTTCCCTATCCTTTTCCTCACCCCTCCTTCCCCCCCCTTTTCTTCTCACCATAATATAGTTTTCATCTCACCTCTGAGATTAAACCCATCTCTCCCCGTCCACTGTGGCAAACGGCATTTTGAGAATGAAATTGGTTACATCAATAGCTGCACTATCACCTTGGCTATTGCCTTCCCTTTATATTCCTCCAGTGGAACGTGACTGACCTCCACCGCCGCCCCCACATTTCTCACAAAACCGCAAGAGTAAAGCGTCAACATGTGCGGGATTGGCCCTGTCTGCCGGCACTAACTGGGAACAGTGGGGTGAAGGGAAAGGGGAGGATTATCTTTTTATTTATTTGATCCACTCGCGGCAGAAGGTTTCTCCTAACTAGCTCGTGGAAGCCGGAGCTGGTTTGAAGTCTGCTTTGAGCCTGTGAGAGTTTATAGTTCCACTGGATCAATTGTGATACGCCGTGTCAAAGGCCCACCTCTGAGTAAATCGACAGGTCAGAGAAGCTTCTCCGGAGAGTTAAGAGTCAGAGGCTGGAACAACAGCACTACATGAGTTTTAAGATGGGTTTAATATAGTTTTCTGGCCTGTTTGAAACCCTAAATAAGTGGATAGATGGACATTCTTCTAATTGTCACAATCAAATCCCCCTGGTTTGAAGCTATAGGCAATGCCAGGCCAACGTATGGTTGTATTCTTGTTCCTTGATGTTTACATTTCAAGTCAGATGAATTTGATTTAGGCATCATCTCCCTGATGATCAACAGTGTCGGCCCCAAAAAAGCCAGTGGCCTTTTCCATTTAAGCTTGTCCGTATTCTCAATGGGAACCTTGATTTTCCTTTCACTGTGGGAACGTTCGGCTATCTAGTTTATTTCTCTCTTTGCCCGCCTCGCTACTCGCTCACTAAACACAGGAGCGGTGGCCGACCAAATAGAAAATCCAAAAAGAAATCAGTGGCGATTTACACAAGGACTTGTCTGGGTGGGATTCATTTGCCTCGTGACATTTCCAGAGAAGTACCTTTCGGAGCCAATGTGGTTTAATGTACCTTTAGCCTTTCCTCTCATTGATGTGGCCCTCGGTTAATATATCGGATTCTTGAGTGTTGAGAGAGTCAATACTTACTTTCTGATGAGCCACGTTGTGTATATATTGAATTCCTCGCCAGCAGTACTTGGAAATCAGCTTTTCACCTTTTTGTTGAGCCCAACACAAGCCGCTGGTGTGGTAAGTAATGTTGCCGGCGCTCACCTTGTGTAAAAAAAGAAAGTAGCTTTGATGCCCCAAATCAATATTTCTTAATCATAAAAAAATGCCTCCCTGCTGTTTTAAATTGAATTTTTTGGGAGCACTTGAGAGGAATGAAAGTGAACGAGCACCGCAGCCGGCGCTTGAAGCTAATTTTCAGTTAACATGCAACTGGTCATTAGGCTTTAGCTCTCGGGAGCCAAAGGTCAATAATTGCATCTGGAGGGGGGGGAAAAAATCTTTTTCACCAAACGGTGGAAGCCTTTTGTGTTGAAGCATTAAGTAGAAAGTTCCCCTGTAATTGCATTAGTTGTTTAGGATTGCCCTAGCGGAGGATGAAAAATGAGCTCTGCCACGATTACTTCTCCGCTAAGTTTCCGTCTGGCGTGACTCACAGAGAGCCTTCTCGTTGGGGTTGACCTCATGCTCCCCGCCACCAGTTAGCCACCGCTCCACTGTCTGTCTGCTCTGAACTCGCATCTGTCTTCGACTACAGGTCTGAGTGAAGCAGCTGCTGGATCTGTGGTGGTTTATCACTTTTATCGCTTCCTCTTAAGTCAAATTCGGTTGCTCGGGTTGCAAATCACTTCCTTTACTGAGCAAACAAGCAAGTTTATATCTTAATCCAGTAACAGCTGGATCACATGACAGAGAATCAGTTTCCCTTAAATGAATTGTCTAAAAGGAAATCAATTATTATATTTTCTTCATTCATTGTCACATTTAACCGCTTAAATGTGAACATTTGGAAATTGTATATTTAATTAGACTTTGAAGACACAAATGGGAAATAAGGCATTCATTTTAAATGCTCGACCAGCCAAATTTAACATGGATATTAAAGCAAAATGAGTCCGATCATCCTTGAAAGATTGATCTCTATGTTTAATGCCATTATGGACAAATATATTATTTAGTGTGAAGATGCAAAAACCTAAGCTTCCTCTTGAGCAACAATCTCAAACAAGGCTATTAATCTATTCAGAAATACGTGTGTTTGAAAAAAGTTCTCAAGTTGTTGCTGTGATGATAAAATGACAGTTTTGTAAATTGTTCTATCGCCGTCATCTGTGCATATTGCCCGTGGGCTTGGAGCGCTGTTAATGGCCCCGTCTCTCTCCCGTCCAGCCCCAGAGACCCTGATGCGAGCCCTGGAGCTGCTGAACTACCTGGCGGCGCTCAATGACGACGGTGACCTGACGGAGCTGGGCTCCATGATGGCGGAGTTCCCGCTGGACCCCCAGCTGGCCAAGATGGTCATCGCCAGCTGCGAATTCAACTGCTCCAACGAGATCCTCTCCGTCACTGCCATGTTGTCAGGTAATGCTCGGGGCTGGCTAAATGTGTGGGTCTGAGCTGCTACTCTCTCCATTTCCTGTGCTCATGGACCAGTGAGCTCAAAGGAAATCTACAGAGCAGCTTCTGTTAAGTCCCCTTTTAATGTATTTGCATTCCTTGACCCTTCATTCTGTTTTAGATTTGCCCTCATCGTCAAATTCCACTTACGACTGACTTAATCTGTATGAACAATAGACACAGCAGAGCCCAGAAGTTGACTCGGAATAAATCCACCTATCGAACGTAACTACAAAGCAAGTCGGGGGTAAAGTCAGTGGTGTCAGCTATTACTCGTGAGGAGGGGGGGGAAGAGTACATGTCTGTACAAAATGTATAGGTGTAGCTGCAGCAGCACCAGCATGCTACAGCAGTAATTGCACTTTGGGCTTGCCAAAGCAGAATGCTGCTCATTGAGATGAATCTTGACGCCTTTGAAGGGAGTGCGAGGGTCTTTGAGAGTGGGGGAAATGGATTTAACTAGCTCTTTGGACGTGGTGTGCACTTAAAGCAGGTGTTTCCGGACGGCAGTTTCTTTTTTTTTTTTTTTTTTTTTTTTTCTTTTTTCTTTTTTTTTGCTGAGTTCATTAAGAGTAAGCAGCGAAAAGTACACCTGAGAACAGCAACCAACCACGAGGCTCAATAAACACAGCCCGTACCCATTAAAGGCACAATTAAGCAGCTTCTGACATCCAGAGAAAGTTCACAGCGGGGAGACGGCAGAACCCGAGTCCTCCGGATGAACTCTTCGCCCCCTCATCTTCTTTTCCACTTCGCAATACACTGTGCCCTGTGAAGTGCTCTGTGCCTCTCTTGAGCTGAGGCCTTGTTCCTGTCTGCGGGATTTGCTTAACTTATCCCTATGGGCGGCTGTGTTGGGGCCTATACCAACCTTGTTTAGTCCCACAGTGCTTCGTCCGACCCACGGAGGCTAAGAAGGTAGCCGACGAGTCCAAGATGCGCTTCGCCCACATCGACGGAGACCACATGACGCTGCTCAACGTCTACCACGCCTTCAAGCAAAGTGAGTGGGCGCTTTTGAACGCACAGTCCCAACATCGGCTTTGTTCATCTTTAACCCTGCATCGTTCTCGTCTCACGCAGACCACGACTCCACCCAGTGGTGCTACGAGAACTTCGTCAACTACCGCTCGCTGATGTCGGCGGACAACGTGCGCCAGCAGCTGTCCAGGATCATGGACCGCTTCAACCTGCCGCGGCGGAGCACCGAGTTCAACAGCAGAGACTACTACACCAACATCCGCCGCGCGCTGGTCACTGGCTTCTTCATGCAGGTCCGTCACACCCGGGTCCTCTTTGTGAAGCCCTCACAGAAGCATGTTGTGTTTGTATTATTCTGTGGTAGTGTATGTTTACAACTTGCTAACCTCAGCTATTTCGTCTTCTTTTAAGTTCTCTTTGTCATTACATCATTAAACTTAAATACATATTTTTAGTTGTTATGAAAAATAAGTGGTACTGACTAAAATTATTTGCTGAGATGTTAATTGTAATTGATAACCGCTTTTAAAGTGCACACACGCACGCACGCACGCACGCACGCACAGCTGCTTTGCTTTAAACGCATAAAAAGGAATCGAGTCAATTTGCTCCTCGCGTAAGGAAACAAATGGCATTTCGCAAGAAGCCATTTTCAGGGCTACCTGAAACAAGCAGCCTGACAAGTTGAATTATGGTGTTAATATTTGAATATTTGTCAACATTAACCTTTGTCTCGGAGACAAATTTGCGGTTCATGTTGGAGCTTTCACAGCGTTTGTGAAGCCATGTCTTTGTTGGGAATGGCCTTTATTGAGACTGATTGCCTTGGTTAATCACAACAGCCACTGCAGCTTCACCTAGTAGGGGAAATCACTCACTGCCTGCTTACAAACAAGTTTGCAGCATCAGGCTGCAATATTAGTAACTAATAAGATTTTAATGGGTCTGTATGGTTAAATTCGGGGCATATGTTTCCTTCTTCCTGTGTTTCTCTGTGAACTGCATTTGTTGGTTCCTGATCCTCTTCTCTCTCTCTCTGCGGTGTGAACAGATCGCTCACCTGGAACGCACCGGCCATTACCTGACGGTGAAGGACAACCAAGTCGTTCAGCTGCACCCCTCCACCGTGCTGGACCACAAGCCCGAGTGGGTGCTCTACAACGAGTTTGTGCTCACGACCAAGAATTACATCCGCACGTGCACCGATATCAAGCCAGAATGGTACATTTCAGTTGTGCGCTGTAAAGATAATTCTCAGAAAGAAATGTTTTATTTGGTTCCCTTGACTAATGGAGAGCGTATTTCTTCTCATGATATCTTTAACTGTTTGTCTTTGTGGGAAATAACCTGGATTTCTGCACACAATCCCATATTATTAGTTTGAAATAGCTTCAAAGAGATCGTTCTTCTTCTCTTGAATTGCGTCCGTACCTCTGTTAAGCATGTTGTGGGAGGACATTTGTGAAAAAAATGTAATCCAATGTATGTCAGTCTTCTGAAATTGGATACAAATCCAACAGTGTAGTCACTCAGTATTAATATAAATATCGTAATGGCAACACGCAACGTAAGACACGTCACCCACACCTGTTGTCCTCCGTGTCGACCCGATCACGATTCGCCGCCGTCCTCTTCCTCACACCTCGAGAGCGCTACATTAGCAGCTTCAGTGCTCCATCTGTGTCTACACGCGATGCATTCAGGCTCCGTGTTTAGTGTAGGCCGGAGCCCAACCGGCTATATATATATAGCTGTATTATATTGTTTTTAAATTTCACTCTAAGCTTCTATTGAGGTTTTCTAATGAAGCTTTGGAAGTCTGTCATCATATTTTCCGTTTTTTCGGCCCCGGTGAAAATGTTGTTTGTGAAAGTCTAAACACCAATAAATATGGATTAAAGCATAATGCTTTGTTAGATAACAACAGATTGTGTATTTGTGGAAGTAATGATTCATCTTTTTTCAATAAATGGGAGGGGGGGAATATGACAACAAAGGTTTATTAATTAAAATGAATAAAAGCTCAAAGTTAGCCTTTACCTTTTGTATTTATTGCGGTGCCGGAGTACCGAGCCCACACAGTTTTACGAGTTTTTACTTCTTTGCTCTAATAAGAATAAAATGCCGGCCTCACCAGTGTCGGCTTGTTTACACACACTTGTACTGCAGTACACCGACTATGCATGTTTCTCCTCCCCCTGTGTGACCGTACACAATTAAGTATCGTGTCCGAGCTCGCACCGGCAGTTGCTGCATGAATATGGAAGAACCGCCCTCTCCCACAAGTAAACACCCAAGACCATTTTTTCTTTGCGACTAATGTTTACTCTCTTTCTTTCCTAGGCTGGTGAAGATTGCCCCGCAGTACTACGAGATGGGTAACTTCCCCCAGTGTGAAGCAAAGAGACAGTTGGAGCGTATTGTTGCGAAGGTCTCATCAAAGGAATTCACTCAGTACTAAGGAAGGTTCGCATGTGCTGCAACGGCATCCTCGGTATCCGTACGAAGTAAAGACCTGGAACTCCTTTTTTAAATTCCACCAACAACCTAGTTTTGAATTCTGGTTTGTTTTTTTTGTCATGCTGTGTGTGCGCGTGTGTGATGTATTTCATGACGACTGATGAAATGTGTCCTTTGAGGGCCACCGTGTGTCATTTCTTTGCAAAGCCCAGAGGGTTAAGCACTACCAGAAATGGACTGTAGATGACTGTTTTTCAGGAATTTGGTTAATAACTAAATTCCTGAAAAACATTGTTTTAAAGCATATGTCATGTTAATTTCAGCATTCCTCCTAAATACATCCATACTATAAGTCATAGCTCGGGATTCTTGTTGCTTCTACTGCTCTTTGATTGAATATAATTTATACTGTTTTGATGCGGGCATAATGTATTGTCCTCTTGTCATGGAGATACTAAGAGGGGCACTTTGGTCACATTTCCTGTCGCTGTTCAGCTTAATAAAAATGACTTTGTAATAAAGCGATTTTCCCAGTGTCGGCATTAAAATAACAGGATAATCAGGGCGTAAACCTTTCACTTAACCCTCTCACTCACACACACACACACACACACACACACATGAACTGAGCCACCACGCTTTGACCTGCCAAATCCAGCTCGTTTCCCGGCTCTTCGGGGAAGTTAAATCTTCTCACTGGGATATTGATAGCTTCAGAAACAGTTGGAGTGAGGGGGGATGTTAATTACAAATGTTTTCAGAAGAAGATCAGTGTGAAATCCCCGCTGTGCTGGAGCCTGTTCCGGCTGTACTGCTTTGTGTCAGCGCTTCTGTAATGTGGAAGGTAAAGCTCGCAGTTTGGGAGAAGCGGGAATTTCCAGCACTGCGGTGGCGATCTAGAACATAACAAGAGTAACGGTCATGTATGTAGTTTTACTTTAGTCGAAACTTAAGATGTAGTGTAACAACTTTTAAGAAGACTTTAGCAGCGAGGGAAGTTAGATGAGCTCTGACTAACGTTCTTGGGAGGCTTTCCCGTCTCATTTCAGTCAGTGGCACGACTTCTGTGGCTCTGGACGAGCTCCGTCAAGTCTGAGAAACATGCCCCGCGTATTTAAGCTCAGCCGTGGAGACATAAGAATTTACAGAAATCTTGCATTACAAATTGATGGTGTGTTTATGAAGCAAGGAGGATCAAGTTATGGCCTCTGCTTCATCACTTTTTGACCATTCTCTTTTTAACCTCTCACTTAAAAGGCTGCGGTGCCTCAAAATGTAAAGTGCAGAGCTTTATAATGCATTTTCTACAATTTCTTGTTACTAGGGCTGCAACTGACAATCATCTTTACGATTGATTGTGCCAATTATTTTTGCCATTGATCAGTTAAAATCGACCTCCGTCAATTTTACATATTTAACTCTGTTTACACGTGAAACACGAGTACAAAGCCCTTTTGTGGCACCAGAGCTGCCAAAAGTCTGATATATTGCCTCGAGATTGAACCGAGTCAGCGTCAGTTGGCAATGTATTTGAAAAGTCTGGTGGTGCCTTCTGCAACCTTTCTCTGATCTCTGCTTGAGGCTAGTGACTCCAGCTACACCAACCACCACGAGCAATATGCTCCCAAAAATCCCACTAAATTGTTGGTTATGTTGCATTGTGGGTAATGTATGAGCCAGGTTTTGACAAAGAAGAATGCATGGAATTATAAACATACTACCTCTGGTTCTGCTGCATCAAATATGATATATACATTATCCATATATATTTTCTTCTTTTTTTTTTACTAGCTGACAGTTTTCAGAGGGCAATGCTAAATTAGTGGATTATGCCAATTTCCCACTAACAGTCCAAAACCCAAAGATATTCAATTTACTATGTAAAATAATAAAAAACTCTGCAAAAGTTAATATTTGATGAGCTGCATCTGGCAGATGTTTGCCATTTTGGCTCAAAGTGACTCCAATGATCAAAATACTCGGAGTCAATACATTTTCTATTGTTTGAATAATGAACTTATTGTTTCAGTGATGTACTTGTTGCATCCTCAGTTGGATAGACTTTTTTTTTGTGGAAGAATTGGAAGAAAAAAAGTTATTTTATCAACTACGTTTGAGCTCTACTCTGTGCAAAGATAAATGTAAATCAAGGTCCCCATTTTGTTCATTTAAAAGATTATTTTGTTCTGCTCCGGTTGCCTTTATGATAGCATAACCTTGCCTTCCTCTGTTCTGCATCTCAACTTTACATCAATTTGAGGAGAATATACTTCACACTGACCTGAGGACAGAGGCAGACAATGAACCTGTAAGCATTTTTCACATTCTCTGTAGTGTCTGTAAGGAGGCAGGCAGAGATTCTAGACCTGCTCAGGGAGTTTTTAAATGAAGCCCGCAGATTGTGTAATATGCTAAGTCAGGAAATTAGCATGTGTGCTTTAATATTTTTTGGACTGTTGGGAGACAAGTTTTTAAGTGGATGGCCTTTTGCTTGGGAACGTATACACAGAACCACAAAAAATGGTGCCGGAGAGATCCGTCTCCCTCCGAAGTGAAGCCGATAGAAACCCCATTAGTTTGAGCTGATGTGGAAATTATATGGAATTGATCCTGAGGTAAGAACAGTTTTCCTTTGCTCAATACTTCCCATTGGTTCACACCGCCGTGATTACAAATGAAAGTCCTAATGTCTCCAAGTTGTATTTTGTTAGTGTCTGATATGAGGGCACGCGACTTATGCATGCAGTCCTATACCTCTTGTGCATAATCACACAGTCTGTCTGTAGTGTGTGTTACACAGGCATCCTTATATATTATTAAAAGTTGAATTCTGACAGAGTGGCAATGAGATCTGGAGTTTTTGTTAAGCTGTTCAAGCTGAAAACTTACTTGAGGTCAGGGATGTCCTACTGTACATTTCCTCGCGCAGCTGTGCACAACACATCCCGTGCTTGCACCCTGGGCTGATGTTCGAGGCCGTTTTATGTGTCTCTTTGACAGTAACTCAACAAAAGTAGCGAACACAAACAAATACCAGACAGGTATTGTTCAGCTTGTTTCCCAAACAGTGTGAATCACCGCCTCGCCGCGGCTCAATCTCCTGCCACCCACAGAGTCCGGTATGGTGCCTCATCATCATTTGAGACCGTGGGTAGGGAAGTTTATTGCAGAACACCTCAGCGTTTCAGGAAATCCATCGCCCCCGCCCTAGTCCTCCTCCCATCCCACGCCGATCCTTTCACCCACCGACGCAGCCACCAATCGGAGCCGAGACAGGTGTCTTATCTCCATCACACAGCACAAGCACAGCCAATCTTCCAGGAAGATGGCGACTGGAATGTGACAAATCCATCTGTCCTGGTTTGAATTTGTATGCTAATTTGAAGTAATAGCCCCTCTGGTGACAGTGCAAGGGAACAATTCAATCATGCCATCTATGACAGTTGCTTTCCAGCCTTCTCTGTGATATGGGAGTATATGCACGTACCGCCGGGTTAGGCTTGATAAATTGGTTGTGTAGGGGAGATGTGGCATGTAGACTGCATGTTTAAAATGGGCTGCCAGTTTGAAATGAATCGTGCAGCTATACTGAAGGCACCTGTGCAGAATGTGCAGCCGCTACCTGTCAGCAGAGGGGGAAAAAACATTTGATTTGACCTCATTTATTTCCCCCTTCAACGCGGACGGGATCGGTGGCTGTCCTGAACTTTCACCCACTTTTCCCTGCCACAGCCTTCAATGAGATCCGTGTGAACGATGGAAATATCCC